AATAAATCCTTTTGCTTTGAGCTAATTGCTTTACTTTCTGATTGTTAATGGAAAGTATACTGATAGGGGCTTGTAAACTACAGGAGTAGGAGCCTAGATCTATAATTATATCTTAGAACCTCAGAGTAGTTGCTGCACCACCCATTCCCATCCTGCAAACCTCAGGCTTCTGAACTGGGAGGTACCTCAGAAGGGATACTGCCCTTAAAGATCTTTAGCTTTGAAGGGTTAGGTATTTTTTAAATAATGACTTACAAATATTTATAATAGGTCAAAATTAGTTTTTTCCTTAATATACTAAAATGCATGATTCAACACCATTGAATCCAATAGAGAAGTAGAAAACTTAATCTCAAAAGAATGAGAGAAATTATTATTTCTCTCACATATTAATCACCAATTATTAATTGAGATTAAGGTTTTCCCTTTCTATCTCCTCATTCAGAAATAAACCTCTGTAGGTTTTCAGGCAGTCTCTGAAGGACATTGATTATAGATGAGATTACACTCAGGGTACCATCTTGGGTGGGTGAGACCTCAAGCAAATAGAAAACCTCACAAAGAGAATCTAATCTAGGTGAATTCCAGCCCACTGTGCTCTACTCAGGCAGGCTTGGGTGGAGGTAGATCCCTTTGTCAAAATTGCCTGAGGAGGGAGTTGGGGGGGGGGGTTCTGTGTAGAGATGAGTAAGAGTGACATAAGCAGTCATTTCTCCCAGCCCTTTATTAGAATAGGTCTACCTCTTATTATAATATCCATTTTCTCATTAATTATTAACCAATCAGAGTCGATTTCCACCTGTCAGGAACACCCACTCTTCTAAGGGCATATAAGCCTTGAGGGGCCTCCATGATTGTCTTTGGTTTATGAGAGAAAGCCAAAGACCATTTTATTAATTACCTACTAGTCATAATTAATAAAATGACTAATTACTCAGAAACTATGTCTCTCAAACTTTTCATTTGTCACAAGAAGGTTGTACCTATATAAAAGTCTTTTCCTGACTCCTGTCTTCCCTCTTCAGGTAGTACCTCACTCTACCTTTGATCAAGCACCCTGTCTCTACCATCCTGAATTTTTTTTTTCTGGATTCTACTGACTAATCTAGCTCCTTGCCTTTTCTCCTCTCTTTTATTTCCAAAATGCCAACGAAAGTAATCCATACCTGATTCCTCTTCTCTTTACTCTTCCCCGCCCCTAACCCCTAAATACTTTCAGTATGGCTTCCTACTGATCACCAGGGACCAGCCAGGAACATAGGAGTACAGATTGGGAGCTGGAAGGGACTTAAGAAGTCATGTCATCCAAAACCCTCATTTAAAAACTGAGGAAACTGAAGTCCAGAGAGGTTAAGTTGTTTGTCACACAAGTTGCTATAGGACTAGGATTTGAACCCAGTTCCCTTGATTCCAAACCCAAAACTTTACTAAGTACATGACATAATTTTAGAGAGACTGAAAAGGCCAAAACAATCTCACCATCTGTTTGCTGATCTTAGAAACTCTACTTGAGGAGCTTCATTCCTTTGTTATAACAGGTCTCACTTAAAGTGAAAATCCTCCCGGGAGAAGTAAAGCTGAGATGAGTCCTTTTACCTTTTAATGAGAATGACTTCCAGATCCTTTCCCAAGAGCAGATTTTTATAGGGACACAGCAAGACACTGGGAGTCTAAGGTGACAAATGGCCTCTTTCTTGCCAAATCCAAGACCTTTTCCTCCATAAACTAAAGGCTGCCCTCGATTTAAGGACAGATTATTTTCCAAAAGGTTTTACACAGCTGTTCAGAACTCAGGAAATATTTTCCCATAGAAACAATGTGAAAAAAAGAAATACAGCCGTTAGCTTCCTAGGCTGTCCCCCAAAAAGTCTATTTGAAAGAAAACGCTGCTGCCCTTACCTCCTGATTTCTCGCCATTTATTTACAACTAGTCCATTCTTTATAGCCCACTTCAAATGACAAAAGCCCTCTGGGAAGCGTTCCCCAAAACTCACACCTGCAAGTGATCTCTTCCTTATCTAACCTTAACCCATGCTTTACTACTCTTGATAATCATTAAGATTTATAAAGTAATCCAAATTTTGCAACATACTTTACATAGATTCTGTTCTTTGACCTCATTATAACTCCAGTACTTTCCCCCATCCTTCCCATCCATCACTCAGATTCTTGACCCATGTCTTGCCACTGGACTTCCATGACTCTGGAGGACAGAGTGAGGCTGTTAACCTTGCGCAGCTCTGCCTCATAAATCCAATTCACTTGCAGGTCAAGGTATCACCCTCCTGATGTCACTGGTGCTCTTCAAGAATGAAGAATAGGGGCAGCTAGGTGGCACAGTGGATAGAACTCTGGCCTTGGAGTCAGGAGGATCCAAGTTCAAAACCAGCCTCAGGTACTTGACACTTACTAGCTGTGTGATCTTGGGCAAGTCACTTAACCCCAGATGCCTTAGAAAAAAAAAAAGGAAGGAAGAACAACAACAACAATCTTGTCTCACTTTCCTTAATTCACTGTCTTGACCCTTTCATCAACCAGTTTGATGCAGTGCCCTCTATCCTTGCCCCCTTCTCCTTCTGCTGCTCAACCCTGGACCACTCCTACCATATGCTTTCTCCACTCCCACGCTAGAGCTTCTGAACATGGAAGGAAATCATAACACTAGTGAGTTACAGTGGAGAGAGGGTTGGAGTCAGAGTCAGGAAGACATGATTTCAAATCCCAACCCAAACACCAACTAGCTGAGTACCCATGGGCAAGTCATTTAATCTCGCTAAACCTCAGCTTCCTCATCAATAAAATTAGAGCTAGACCAGGTGACCCATAGGCCTTCCAGCTCTTGATCTGTGACCTTATGAAAACCCTGCTTACTACAACTTCATATTATTTAGCTTCTGCTGAGTGTTCACTGTTGATTAATTTTTCTAAAAGGTTTTTCTTGGAGGATACAGTGGAGAAGAAGGTATAGATGAGTTGTGATTCGAATCAACGAATGCAATAGTCACATAGAAGAGGTCATAGGTTCACTGGAATGCTTGAGTAATGAAGCTCAGGATTCCTAAAGATTCAGAACTATTTCATCTTTGTCTCCAAAGCTATACCTACAATGCCAGACACATAATAGGTGATTAATAAATGTTTGTCAATTGAAGTCACAATGTTTTTTAAAAAGCTTCAAAAAAATTTTTTTAAGAAATAATGACTGACATGCTATAGGCTGTGTGATCGTGGACAAATCAGTTAACCTCTTATGTGCTCCAGGCAGAGAAGGGTCACTGGTAGAAGAAGATCCCCAACGGAAGCTCCCAACAAATGATGCAATCACAGGTCCAGTTCAAAAGAAAAAAAAGTCATGAAAAATGCAGCCTTACAAGCTCTGATTATTCTTTTGTTCTCTAAAATGGAATCTTTGCTTCCTTTGCCCTTTCCAAGTCTTTGTGTCTGTGACCTGATTTTTGCCAGTCACTGTTTCTATTCTCATGGATGAGTGGTTTTTCTTCATAACCCACTTTCTCCATATCAGACATAGCTCTTTCATCAAGAGACTGGAACCCATCTCAAATCACTGGGATTTTCTTCCCATCCAGATATGGGTCATTTATATCATTGTCTCTCACTCGGTAAATAAACTACAGGGCCATTCCCTTTTTGACTAACAGCTCAGAAGGGCTACAGCCCAGTTATCTCTCTGCATGTGTGCACCTATGAAGACTTAATGACCCATTTGCCTTAAGAAGACCGACTTCAGAGGAATATCTCTCTGCTCACTCTCAGAACACACCACTGAGTGCGAGTACCTTACAGAAAAGGAAAAGGCCTCCAGAAGATTTCCCACCATGGATGAGGCCCTTCTGTCCTGAAAATAATTTGAGGGAACAAAAAGTACTGAATGCTGCCATGTAAATTATAAACTCTTTTCTAGGAACTCCTTTAAACAGAGCAGGGGAATCATTAGAACAGCCTGCTGAAAAAAGGATGCCTAAAATATAGATGGTTGTCAGAGCTTTGGAGATGGAAGATGGCTAACTCCAAATTTGGGATAGTATCTCAAAACTTCAGTCAAGTCAGTGGACTACCTGGAAAGCATTTCCACCAGCAATTTCAATATTGAGGTAATAATAACTGACATTTATATGGTGCCTTAAACCTTACAAAATATTTTATATTTAATATCTCCATTAAACCTAACACCAACCCTACGAGGAAGGAACTAACTATAGAGGTATTCTTATCCCTGGTTTACAGAGGAGGAAACTCAAACCCAGAGGAGGTAAGGGTGCCCATAATCACATAATCATTCATTCAATCAATCAACAACCATTTTTTTTAAGCACCTTCTGTAAGTCAGACACTGTGCTAGAGATATGAAGACCAAAATGAAGTAGTCTATGCCCTCAAGGAACTTAAATTCAATTAAAAAAAAACAATCTGTACAACTATAAAGTGGATACAAAGCAAACACAAAATAAAGGGGCAGCTAGTTGGTAGAGTGGACAGAGACCAGATTCAGACACTTACTAGCTACATGACCCTGGGCAAATCACTTAACCTTGTTTGTCTCAGTTTCCTTATCTTAAAATGAGTTGGAGAAGGAAATGGCAAACCAATCCTGTATCTTTGCCAAGAAAAACTCAAAATGGGTCACAGAAAGTTGGACACAACTGAAAAGCCTCAAAAACACAAAATAGCATTTTTTCAACTACTACAATTTATATGAGGTAGTGCTTACACAGATAAAGCATCAAAGTGGGATTCCAAGCCATGTTCTCCTAACTTCAAGCCTAATATTCCATCCCATAGACCACATAACATCACGAAGTCGGATACTTATTTGGTAACTCATTAAATTAATAAATCAACAATATCTTAGCTGCCAACAATCAATTGCAAAAATAACCCTGAATAGTGTTATTTTCACCAAGTAAAGGTCCCTTTAAAAAATTAGCTTGTGGTCTCTTTGACAAACACTAAATCTTTAAACTCTTCTAAGAACAGCTTACCCTGGTGGACAGATACAGCCACTTGCACAAGGTGGAGATGGGGTACAGGTGAAGTTCATAGCCAAGTTTACACAAGTGGTCTCACAGTTCACACCAGCAGTTGGTAATTCTGGGTCAGGAAATTTGCAGTCAAAGTAGCGTTTTCCTTCTGGGCATGTATGAACTTCAAAGATAAAAAATAAATTAGATATTATTAACTTCATGTAATTGGCAGGTTAATAATCCCACAAAAGTGTACATTTGTGTTTTAAATGTGTCCACAAAAATATCTAATTATTACTCAGGCTACTACTTATGGCTAATTATTACTCAGGAGATTTCACAGAACCATTCTATAATCCCATGTCTATGAATTTTATTAACAATAATAAAGATAATAGCTAGAATTTGCATAATACTTTAAGGTTTGCAAAGCACTTTACACATGACTTCTCATCTGATCCTCACAACAGCTCTGTGAGGTAGGTGCTATTATTCGGCCCCCTTTTACAGATAGGAAACTAAGGCTGAGAACAGTGAAGTGACTTGCCCAAGATCACATGGCTAGAAAGTGTTCGGTACAGAATTTGAATTCAGTCCTTCCCGATCCAGATCTAGCATTCTGTCCACTGTTAGCAGCCATCTAACAACAACAACAACAATACTGGCATTACTCTAACTGCATTATATTTTGTATGCACCTTTTACATATGTGGAGAGCAGAGCTAGTAGTTTGTGGCAATAAAATCGGCAAATTTTCTCTAGGATATGAAACTCATGCATAAATTAGACATTTTGGATATGGGTACCAGATTAATGTGGTCCTACATAAATGAAGGGGCAGCTAGGTGATGCAGTGGATAAAGTGCCAGGCCAGAAGTCAGGAAGACCTGAGTTCAAATGTGGCCTCAGACACTTACTAACTGTGTGACCCTGGGCAAGTCACTTAACTCTGTCTGCCTCTGTTTCCTTACCGGTAAAATTAACTGGAGAAGGACATGACAAACCACTCTAATATCTTTGCCAAGAAAAACCTCAAACGGGGTCACAACGAGTTGTACATGACTGAAAAATGACTGAACAACAAGAAACAACACATAAATCAAACCTTAAGCATACTAATCCCCTCAGGTGCTAGGGCCTCCCTCTCTCATGTAACAATATTACCTTGTATTTATTTTGTATAAATCTCGTAAATACTTTAAGTAGATATCTATCCCAAATAGAAAGTAAGACCTTTGAGGGATGGGACTATTTTATTTCTGGCTTTGCATTCCCAGTACCTAGCATTGTTCTTGGCATATAGTAGGTGTGTCCAATATGCTGCTGATTGACTCTAAACAAAAAAAAATGTCTAACTATTAGCCATATGTGAATTAGCCTTGCAAATAAGAACCATCATCGTCACTCCACTGGGGGTTTTATCATCAGCACTCTTCCTGACCAGCAAACTAAGTGAAAGCACCTTGTCCCCCAGGCAGAATAAATGTGAAAATGGCCGTAAGGGTATCTCCCTCCCTTCCACCCTCTGCCTACAAGTAAGTTCCCTGAGTGTAGATGGAGGGAAGAAACTCCCAGTAAAAAAACTCAGACACTACAAATGAGTAACTGTTCTGTAATGTCTAGTCTTAGAGGCTGCCTGAGGCACAGAAAAGTTAACAGACTTGCCCAAGTAAGACAGCCAGCCCGTGACAGAAATGAGACTTGAATCCAGATCTTTACTCAATAACCTAGCCCCTGTCCCTTCCCTTACACAGAGTAAGTGCAAAAGCAATACTATTGAATTGAATACATGATTGCCATCAGGGCTACAAGTGCCATGCTTAAACCAAACAGTAAAATGACAGGCTGGTCCAGAGGAAAGACTATTTCTGTGACTCACCAATGGTAGCGGGGGAAGGCTCAGCACACTTCACTGTCCCATTTAAACACTGACTAATAGAAGCAAATAAATGATCGTTACAAGAATCATAACTCAAAGCAACTTTTCTTTTTTGTTTCAAAAACTCTCAAATGTTCCAGAATTAGATGTCTACAAGTATGAGGGTGAAATACTACACCTCAGTTATCACCAAGTAATAAGGCTCAGGGCCATTTAACTAAACTATGGTCCTTCTCTGGTGCCTCATTTTAGCACAGAGGTGACCTTGGGCTCTCAAAAGCTATGTCATTAGCACATAAGCTAATAGACAGGTCCTACCATGCTGAGGCCAGCAATAGATGGAAGAAGGAGGAGGAGGAGGAGGAGAGGAGAGAGATTGGGAAAAAGAAAAGAAGGGAGGAAGGGGAGGGGAGAGAAGGAGGAGGGGGAGGGGAGAGGAGGGGAGGGGAGAGGGGGGAGGGGAGGGGGAGGGGAGGGGAGGGGAGGGGAGGGAGGGGGGGAGGGAGAAGGGGGGGAGGGGAGGGGAGGGGAGGGGAGGGGAGGGGAGGAGAGAGGGAGAGGAGAGGAGAGGAGAGGGAGGGAGGAGAGAGGAGAGGAGAGGAGAGGAGAGGAGGAGGAGGGGAGGAGGGTCAGAGCTAGGATGACTAAGTTGCTCATTATGAGAAGGTTGGCCACAGGGTGGTGGTGTTGGGAGTCACCTGATTAGGGATGGCCTTATGAAAAATGTTCAGCTTCTCACACCAGCTGAATTTCACCTACTCACTACAAGTCCTAATAATGCAAAATGAATCCCCTTTTTAACAAAAAGTACAAGCCATGCCTTTCTCACCAAAGACTGATATCCATAATTCCTCATGTTATTTTATAATTCAGATTAATTTTTCAAATTGTCACATTACCAAAATGTATAGTCTGAGTGTTAACATACTAAGCACAAACCCCATAACAGAAACATACCATAAGCCAGTTGGTGTGGCTACGAGCTCTCCAGGTTGATATTGACTGCCTCTGTAAAGGCAATGGCAGCTAAATCTGTAAAAATCAATATTTTAAAATTAATAACCCATAAACAAATGGGAGATAATAAACGGCACCTCAGTATCACATATGATAGGAGCAAGTCATTTGACAGTTTTGGTCACTGTGACATGATCATATTAACAAAGAAACAAAGAGAGTTTATGTAAGTACTATTTGAAGGAAACTTTGAATGGTTTTTTTCCCAAGATAAAACTTAAATGCCTTTTTCATTTAGGCCACAGATTGAATATAAAAAGCTGCTTTTCCAGGGAAATTTTTTAAAAACTGACTAGAATAGCCTTTTCTGCCTATGTGTGATGCTGAAACATAACTGGACCTGAAATCTGAAGGCCTACATTCCAAACTCAGCACTAATTCTTTCTAGCTCACAAAAATAACAGTAATAGTTGGGATGTCAAGAGGTTAAATCTGGAAGGGACAAGTCACTTAAACCTCTCTGAGTTAGAGAAATTGGGAGAACAGCATTTAAATTACATCCATCCATGGTTATTGTAAGGACAACACTTTGTAGACCATAAAGCACTGATGTCATCTGGTTAGCAGAGATACCTTTACCCAGGGGGAGAAGGGAAGCAGATAGAAAGAGCTGAAATAGAATTACTGATGAGCCTAGCAAGTGCAGTCACTGATTACCAAAGGCATTTTACCAACCTACTTATATTCTGATCTAGCTTGCCTTTGATTGATCTAAAATTGACGGATGCCAAGACAGATTCCAGCTCCCAGTGTAAACCCTGACTTTCCCATGCTATTGCAATTAGCCTGAACTTGACCAGCTCCTGATGCGACTTTGAGTTTGCTAGGTCTAAGTTTAGGAAGGAAATGGGAACCATGGTGGACTTTGATATAGGCTAAGGGCAAGGTTTTATGAAATCTCAAATAAATCTCAAATTTGAGACATTTGAGAAGAGGAGAGGGGAGGGGAGGAGGGGAGGGGAGGGAAGGGGAGTCAGAGCCAGGAGGGCTAAGTACTAAGTTGCTCATTATGAGAAGGTTGGCCACAGAGTGATCATCAAATAAATTGATATTTACTTTAATATCAATAAATTATATCTGAAAGGCATTGAAATAGTGGATAGAAAGCTGGTCTTAGAGTCAAGAAGATCTAGGTAGGGGCAGCTAGGTGGTGTAGTGGATAGAGCACCAGCCCTGGAGTCAGGAGTTCAAATCCAGCCTCAGACACTTGACACTTACTAGCTGTGTGACCCTGACTGAGCAAGTCACTTAACCCTTATTGCCTCACTGAAAAAAAAAAAAAAAAGAAGAAGAAGATCTAGGTTTAGGTCCCTCCACTAGCACATACCTAGCTGTGTTTGTGACCCTGGACAAGTCATCTAAATGTTCAGTATTTCAGACGACTGTCTAAAACTATGATCTGCAGAGTAATTGCTCATCTGAACTGACATGGGAAGTTTGTTCAATGGGAATTCCCTCTGCCAATGAAATTACCCTTACCCCCCCCCAAAAAAAAAGCTTATCTTAGTAAATTTCTTGTAGGCACAAGCTTTTTCTATCCTAGCTAATGTCAAATAGTAATTACTATGGAGATGTGAGCTTCTGATATTATCCTGATGAAGTCTTTTAGGGAAAATGTTGAGTGTCAGAAATAAAACGTCCATTACACTCAACTATTTGTCACTGTTGACCTCTACTTTGCAGGTGCAGATAGAATTAATCCTTAGGATGAAGCACCTGATTTCTTAGCTGTAATTTTAACCCACCAAAAAAGAATCTGTAAAAGGAAATCAAATGAAAAGGAGGGGAGTAAACAGAACTAACCCTAAAAGCCCTTAGAACCATTTTGTTTTCTAAGTGATATGGAAAGAGATGACTTACATGGGCACACAAAAGTTAATTGCATCATCAAAGTATTTGCCTTCTGGACAATTACAGCCTTCAACACAATCATCATCACAGCTCTCCATGGAGGAAAGAGAGGCACAGGAGTGCTGGCAGAAAGATGAGCAGGGATGGTACAACATGCCTTTCTGGCAGACCACGGCTGAGGAGAAAGCATCATCATTCATGAGCTATTTCTACAGAGACTGGAAACATTCTCTAGAGCTTTGTGTATCTTTGATCGACATGAAACATGAATGTCAGAAATAATTAGAATCCATACACACATGAAAACTCTGGAATCCTAGAAGTGGAAGGATCTCAAAAATTCATTGATCCAAATCTTCTGCCTCCTGCCTAGCTATAAAGCTATAATGAAGCCATTGGAGGCAGATGTTAGCAATTTGTTTTTCAAAAAATTTCCAGGGATGGAGATTCCACAACCTTCTCTGGGAGCCTGTTTTACAATATAGGTACTAAGACTGTCAAATTCTTCTTAAGGTCTAAATAAGTTCCTTCTCTTCTTGTTTTGTTTTTCCATGGAGGTAAATAACTGGGCATTATCCTTTTTAGTGTAATCTTTAAGCTTGTCAATGTTACATTTGCAGTTTCCAACTAAAATCATCTCCACTCCTTTGATTCTCTACTCATTGATTATTTTTTTCTATCACTGCAGTCATTCTATGAAGTTCCAAAACTGTCCAGTTTCTCTTCCTTTCTCTTTGTAATTCTTTAGTCACCAGTTGGCATAGCTATCCATTAACTTTCTCCTAGTCACTAAAAATGTCCAGGTGCTGGGATGTCCCATGCCCACTCTGGTGTTCAACCAATCTAACCAGCTTTTCAGGGAGTACGGTGGAAGTGTTAAGCTCACTATGGTTCTTAGAGAAGTGAGCAATCTCGTTTCGGGTAATCTTCTGTGAGAGAAGGAACATGAAAATAAAAAAGTATTTGAGCCAAATGAAAAGGAAATTCTGTATATATTAAGGACTAGTAAAAAAAAAAAAAGGCCAGAAGTTGAGTTCAAGGAAGAGAAATTCAGGAAAAATTTAGATAAATTTGAAGAAGGAAAATCTCCAAGTCCAGATGCTATTTCTGGGACCTGCCTAAAGAATGTTGCCAGAAAAACACCATTAAGGAAGATTAAGAAAAATATAAAACTGGAGTTCTTAAGACCAATGAAAGGAAATTGAATGGGGCTGTCAAGTTTAAACCAGTTGCTTAGAGTTGCAAAGTGAACATATATATAAGTAGTATTTAAAAATAAAAATAAGAACACTTGAAATCTCAACCAGAATAGAAATTAGGGAAAACTGTGCAATAAATTACACTGAATGCAACTCGCAGTGATATCTGAAACAGTGGGAGATAGGAAAAGTATCATAAGATCGGAAAAGGGAAATATTTTTGTTATCAATAAAGGTGAGTGGGGAGTGAGAATGAAGTTGGTAAGCTGTAGGTCAGTGAGCCTGATTGTATTTCCTAAGAAATTCTAGAATGGAGCATTAAGGAAAAATTAGTAAATTTATCAAAAGGGATTCAGTCAGTGAAAAAGCCTATGCTTCATCAAGAATAAGTCATGCTGGCCTAAACTTAATCCTTTTTTGATAGGATGACTAAATTAGAAGGTGAGAAGGACACCATGGGTACAGTTTAACTAGATTTTAGCAAAGCTTTTTGTAAAGTTTGTCATACTATCCTTGTGGAGCAGGTAAAGAGATGTACTCTAGACAGCAATACAATTAGATAGATTCAGTCCGAGTTGGATGTCCAGACTCAAATGGTAATTGTTAATGGTTCAACTTAGCAGGAAGTCTCAAGTTGAGTACCCCAGCCATCTGACACTGGCCCTCTGGTGTTCATCAAATTTACAGATGACACAGATAGAAGAGATAGCTGATACATTGGGTGACAGAGTCACCAGGCTAGAACAATTAATTAGAATTGAATAAGATGAAATCTAATAGGGATACATGTTGAGAATTATACCTGGGCACAAAAATTTGACTTGACTACCAGGTGAGGAGGAAGAGAATATGGTTAGGTGGAACCTTCTCTGAAAAAGATTTGAGGGTTTTCGTGGACTCTTAAATCCATGAGTAGCAGAAAAAAACTAATGTGATCTTGGACTGTATTAAGAGGAGTGGTTTCCAAGACTGAGAAGGTGATAGTCCCCTTGTATTCTACCCTCCTCAAACCTCATCATGAGTATGATGGGCACCACAGTTCAAGAAGGACATTGGCAAGCTTGAAAGTGGCCGGAGGAGGGCAACCACAATGAGGAAGGGCTTTAAGTCAATGCCCTTTATATGAAGTAGGTTGAATGAATCAGGGATGTTTTGTCAGGAGAACAGAATATTCTGGGGTGCCCTCATAGATGTGTTCAAATATTTGGAGGGCTATGATGGGGAAGGGGAACCAGACGTGTTCTGTTTGACCTCAAAGAACCAGAAGCAAAGAGTTTAGAAGCTGCCACAGCAAATTTACACTTGATGTCAGAGAAAACTTCCTAACAATCAAGAGCTCTCCAAAAGTGTAATGCACTGCCTTGACAGATGATGGTTACCCCCTTCCTGGAAGTCTTCAAGTGAGGGATGTATGACCACTCGTCCAATAAGTTGTAGCCAGGATTTCTTTCTTGTGTGAGTCAGACAAGATGGCTGCGAAGGTCTTTTCTCACTCTCAAATGTGCGATTGTATCCCTCAGGTCTCCCACTACATGGGTGGACATGCTCATTTTGTTAGTCTAAGGGTTGTGGTTGGCCCATCAGAATTAGCCCTTGAGCCCCCACCTACTGGAAACTCTCCCTCCCTGATTTTGCTAAATTTCATTGAGATCCTATTATGATTAATGTGAGAAAATTTAACACAACTTAGCCATGACAAATTTAATTTGTGAAATAACTGTAAGTTATCTGTCATATATGATGCTTCTATTATGATTTCATTACTGAGGCTCTTTGTTGATTTGCAAGTATAGGAACAAGGAGTTTAAATTCTTTTTTTTTCAGTTCCATTACATAAAATGAACAGACAAGTAATTACACCATACCTTTCCTTAACATAAAGTTGTCCAAAATGTGCTGGCTTTCCCTGATACCCTTTCCAATTTTGAGAAAAGGAATGCTCACCGCAGAATGAGACATGAGACCGGAAATCAATGAAAAGGCCATGCTTGCTACAGACATATGCATAGTGACCCAGGGCGTTACATAAACAGCTGCTTCCACACTTGCAGGCATCAAAACGGCAGAGCTGATAGTACAATCCTGGACTGACAGCATCATGGCAGGGAGCAAAGAGCTCTTGGTTGATAACATCGCAGTGGGCGGCATATCCAACTAGGAAAGAATGAATTCTTTTTCATGATTCTTGTTATAAACCAGGAAACAGCATTCCCTCCTAAGTCTCTAGCTTCTTTTTTTTTTTTTTGGTGAGGCAATAAGAGTTAAGTGACTTTCCCAGGGTCACGTGTCTGAGGTCAAATTTGAACTCAGGTCCTCCTGACTCCAAGGCCACCCAGCTGCCCCTCTAGCTTCTTTCAAAGCATAGCCCAGGGCCATCTCCTATGCAAAGCACTTCTCCTTTCCTCCACATTTTAGTGTCTTTCCCCCTTTGAAATTGCTTTGTATTACTTTGGATATACCTGCATCTACTCATCTCTTTGTGTGTTATATCACATGTCAGGGGGGTGCTCCAAATGACTTCAGAGCAACTTGAGAGAGCAGATTGTTAAATTTCCAGCATGAGCATTTACTCCTCAGAAATTGTCAAATGCTACAAATCAGGATTTGATTGATTGTTTTGCTGACCATCTAGATTGTAAAAAGTGATAGGAAATAGTGAACGATTCAGATTAAGCTTAAAAGTGTGTCATGAATACCGTTTTTTTTTTTGAGAGCCAGTTGTTAAAGATTTACTAGCACACTCCTCAATGTCATATACCCTTCAGGAGAAAGTAAGTTCCTTGCAGTCAGGAACCGTTACTTTTTTTGTCTCTGTGTCCCACACACCAACGACAACGTCTCGCACGTAGCTTTTGTTGCTCAGTCATATCGGTCATGTCTCACTCTTCACTACCCCATTTGGGGTTTTCTTGGCAAAGATACTGGAACGTTTGCCATTGTCTTCTCCAACTCATTTTACAGATGAGGAAACTGAGGCAACCAGGGTTAAGTGACTTGCCAGGGTCACATAGCTAGTAAGTGTCTGAGGCCGGATTTGAACTCAGGAAGATGAGTCTTCTTTAGGCCTGACACTCTACCTACTACCACCTAGCTTCCCTCTTGAACATAGTAGGCTCTTTACAAATGTTATATCAAACTGAATTAAGCCATTTCATCAATCAATTCACTAAACTAGGTCTCTTCCCATTAAAAAAAATTTTCAAGGGCAGACCTGAATGCTTTTGTTTTAAATGTGATATATTAAATATATGTTATATTTATAATATTAAATATAAAATTTGTTATATTAAATATTCACTAGTGAACTAATAGTTTGAGCATTTTTGTTAGCTGGAGTTTTTTTTAATAATAATGTTTCTTACAACAGGAATTGACATGTCATTCCTGTTCGATAATAAGTCCATTAAATAAGAGAGTGACATTATCAGATGAATACTTTAGAAAAGTGCTTTGGCAACTGGAGTGGGGAGAGGCATGAGATAAAGAAATGAAATAGGAGGGTATTGGCCATAGTACATATGGAGAGAGATTAGAGCAAGGAGGGGGTGTATGTGAAAAACGCTGTGCAGATAGAAATGACAGTTTGGCAAGTAACTTACTATGTAGGGTGGGTAAGAGTAAAGAGTTGAGAAGGAAGTTGCAAAGGTGGGTGACCACAAAGATGGTGATGCCCTTGATAGTGGCAAGACAACTAGGGAAAGAGCGAGTTGGAGCAAAGTAAAAGGTAATAAGTTAGTCTGGGATGTGTCTAGTTGAGGTACCTATAGAATATTCAATTCAAGACATCCAGCAGACAATTGGTAATGGCAAACTTGAGCTCAGAAGTGAGACTAGGGCTCAATATATAGAACTGGGTATGCTCAATATACAGTTGGTAATTGAACTCATGGCAGCTAACAAGTTCCCCAAATTAAAAGGAGTAGACAAAAAGAAGAGGGACTAATACTGTGTTTTGGGTAATACCCAAAGTGGGTGTGACACAGGCTTCACTAGGAGAATAAGCTAGGTGGATAAAGTACTGGGCCTGGAGTCAGGAAGATCTGAGTTTCAATCCAGCCTCAGACACTAGCTGTGTGACCCTGGGCAAGTCACTTAACCCCTTTTTGCTTCAGTTCCTCATCTGCAAAATGGGGACACAGTGGAGAAAGAAATAGCAAAACCACTCCAGTATCTTTGCCAAGAAGACCCAATGGATAGTCCAAGGGGTCACAAAGAATTGGACGCGAATGTAGGTCCATACTAAACATATAGAATTCAATAAAAACATCCACAAAACAGCACTACAAAATCCATAGCAAAATAGATAGGCTCCCTTCTTGATGTGCAGTCAATGTTACCAGCATATTAGAAACAAACCACAGGAACATAATTCATACTCCGCAAATGACAGAATAAATTAAAAGAAGCATAATATTTAAGAAAATGTAAATATATGTATGTACATATACAATATGCATTTTACACCAAATGACTCTATGAAGAGCCTAAAATCCCATTTAAAGCCAAATGTGCAGTGTTTATTTACATCTTCTGCCTTTCCTTTAAGGGAAGGATAGCCAGATATTCTTGGCATGAGGGTGGCCCAGACTTTCCAAATTGGAGCACTGAGATAAAACAACTTCAGTTTGCTGCATCCTAGATCTCACACTGCTTGCTGAGGTCAGAGAGCCCTTGCTGACCAGCTCATTTCTCCATTATTTATGCTCTGAGTCTGGACCTGTTATCTGATGGCAAGAAAGAGACGCAGCCAGGTATTTGTACATTTGGCTGTAATACAATGGAACCACAGTTGGAATATGGCAGGTCTCCTAGGACTGACATATTCCAACTGTGAATGTACGAGATTGTATCAGAGCATTCTGGAAGGGTCAGGGATGAACAACACACTCTTGAACACATAAAATGGGCAAACTTGTGAGTATAAAGTAAATGAAAAGCACCCATTTTCCCACGGTGGTCTTTTCAAGGGCTTATTTTCAAGAAGGAACGTTAATATTTTTTACAGTTCTTAGTGTAACAGTAATATAACATGGTAAGTATTTTTAAATGTTATAGAAAAACATTCACTACCCAGGTAATGCTCAGCCCCAACATGCTACTAATGCCCAGAAGAATCCCTCAAGGTTATATCTTCATCTGAAGGCTTACTGTTTTCTTGGTTGATGTTACATGGGTCTAACAGAGGAACTCTAACAGGTGCAAAACAAGCTGAGGAAACTTTCCATGCGTTTCCATGGAGCTGCGGGGTACCTTCAATCATACCTCCCGGAGACCTAAAAAAGAAAAGGATAAGAAAGGTAGAACTGATGGATGGTTGTAATATTTCTCCTAGTTGCTTCTTCTTGATTTGGATTCTCCTCTCTTCTGGTTGCCTCTATTCTGAATGAAGGACAAAGGGAATTTTAGTCTATCCTTTAGGTTTGCCAAGAATGAGCTGTCGTGAAAATCTCTGCTCATTCCCAAGTCTTGAAGTTTAAAGGATATGGGCCTCTTCTAAGACTCCAGATGAGCACACTGACACTTTTTCTGATCCAATATTAACACCTGTCTTTTGCTCTTTTTTGTATCCCCAACATTTAGCACATTGCCTGCCATATAGTAGGTACGTGAAAATGCTAGTTAACTGACTAACCACTATTACTGAAGCACCATGTTCTTTACAGGATTGTGAGGCACTGATTGGAGTTAGGTATGCACATGCAGACAGACTTGACAGTCAGATAGATCTTAGCTCATCCATCAGCTCAGGTCAGTACCAACTAATCAAATGTTTCAGCCACGCTGCAATTCAACTATGGCTACCTAGATACAACTTCTCATTGCAGTGTGGCCAAGAAGAGCAGTATTTCAGGCATTCTGGTGGCACAATGGATATAGTCCTGGCTTAGAGTCAGGAAGACCTAAGTTCAAATCCAGCCTCGGGCATTAAGCTATGCGACCCTGGGAAAGTCACTTCACCTCTATTTACCTCTACTTCTTCATCGGTAAGTGTGTAAAGTCCACCTCCCAGGGTTGTTGCGAAGATCAAATAACACTTGTGAAGTGCTTAGCACAAGGCCTGGATAGTAGATGCCATAAAATGCTAGCTCTTTTTACATATTTTAGCGTTTGAAATTCCCTGCCCCCATTTCTGATCAGTAGTCATGTGCTTATAAATGTTAATGACCAACTCTTAAGGAAAAAAATGCACAACACACTTTTAAGTTTCATCTGCATTATTAACATTTTCTCCTTCATCTACTTAAGCCCCCAGACAATCAATAATACAACAAATCAACAGCTGATTTGTGCCATTTGCCAATTTGTGAGGTGTAAATGCTCACATTGAAAATTTAACAACTGGCTCTTGGGTTTGAACTAACTCCACCCACCCCTGCAAACCATCCCAGAATGCTGCCTTCCATTCTCACCCTTTTTGACATCTATTCTCCATTTCTCTTCCTTTTCTGGTCTCTTTCTTTTTCTACCTTCCTAAAGCTCTAAGATATGACAGATCTAGGCTGGGTGAGGATTGGGGGTTAGGGTTGTTGAGAGCAGTCCTCTTGAGTTTTGCCTATCAAATGCTCTTAGGAACAAATGAAAAGTTTAACAGGGACAAGGTTTATTATATATTTTTTTCTTTTTGGAGAATAAATACCACCATTTCCATTGTTGACTTACTATAATAACCCACCTAAAAGCAATTTCAAGTGATTAAAATTGTCTGTTCAATTTTGTTTGCCATAGCATACTGATTCCCTGTGAAGCAGAGGAATTTGACTTCAAATACCAGAAAGTTAAACAATGTTTGTGAGCCATCTCTTCCCCTGAAATAATGTCCCGCATTGACATAACTTTTGGTTGTTTGCACATGGAAGAGGTTGAGGCTTAGAATTGAGTAGGCAGTTCAACCCTCTAGTCTGTGTTAACTGCTAACCCATTCTGACCCACAGCAGAGCAAGAAAATGGATTGAAATAATATTTTTTATGTTACTCAAAACATTTATGTTGTATAAACAGAGTAATAATAAATGTTAATATTCTCTCTAAAAACATAACTGAATTAGTAATATGAAAATTGAATGAACCACATCTGAGATGGGATATAAGAGATACATTCAGGTGGAGAGGTTGAGAGACCTTGGGGGCAAGACTTCTGACCTTGTGACACAAAACCCCGTAAAGGAAGAGACTTTGGGACACAACCCTATTGGGGGGAAGACAGACTCCAGGAAATATGGTCCCTGTGCCAGAAACTATAGGACAATATAAAGATGTCTATAGCATGCCTATAATCATTATTACTATAGCATTCCTCATCTACTCAAATGGACCTGTGATAACATAGATTCCCAACCCATCTAAGTCTGCCCAACCTGTGTGGTTCCTCTGTGTGTGGTATTCTATCCAATCTGGTACCCTTCTGGTAGGTTCACCACAACAGGTACACCCAATGTGGCAGAAGCCTTCCTTGACTTCTCCTGACATCGCAAGGATACCAGTGGTCCACTCTGGCCATCTACCTGTCATCATCCTTCATCCTTGCCACATGTCCAGCCCATCTTCTTTCCTCTTCTATTTAAATGAGCAATTAATCCCTTGTTGACATTTTTGTTCCTGTTATTCCAGGTGCAGAAATGATGAATAAGAGACTACTAACACTCATCATGTATCTACCTCTCCATTGTCCTCTGAGAAACTTAATTCTTCAGAGACTATCCTACTCCTTGTCTTGTAGCCATAAACTCAGGTAGATCTTAATTTAAATCTGGTCTCAGAGCTTACTAGCTGTATAACCATGGGCAAGTCACTTAATCTCTATTTGCTTCAGTTTCCTCAACTGTAAAATGTGGATAATCATAACACCTGTCTCAGAGGGTTGTTGTGAAGATCAAATTAGATAATATACGTAAAAAGTGCTGAGCAACATGCCTGGCACATAGTAGGTGCTATATAAATGCTTATTCCCCTCTCCTCCTTCCCCTTCCATACAAAAATTCTATTCTAATTACAATTAGTTATTAAGATAAAAGCTAGTTTTTCCTTAGTTCTTATCCTCATGATATCCTCCCTGCCTATAATACCATTCCTAATTATTCACATCCTGCCCATCCTTCAAGACCTAGTTGAAGTTCAATGTCTTCTATAGACCCTTGTCCAATTGCTCCAGCCCACACCGATAGTTCGGCCATACAGACACAACCAAGGTTGGGCAAGTTGGGCCTATTGCCCCTAGGAGTCCAAAATACATGGAGCTCTGAGAGCACATAGATGCCCCCAACAGGTAGAACATTTCCATCTTAACATCTAAATAGACAAGGCTAAGAACCAAAACTGATTTCATTGGGGAACTTCTTAAGTGAGGAAGTCCTTCTACCAATCAGGCAGCACCTTAGAGAATTTCCTGGAGCACCGAGAAGTCATATAGAGTCACCCAGCCAGTATGTGTAACATAAATCAGGAATAATTAGCTAAAATACAAAACTACTTGATGGTATTCTTGGCAGCTGCACCCTAAAGGAACTCCTTCACCCAGTGGTGACCTCCATGCAGCATCTTCATATTGTCCTAGAGTCTCTGGCAAAGGGACCATGTTGGAGCAGCTAGGTGGCGCAGTGGATAGAGCACCGGCCCTGAAGTCAGGAGGACCTGAGTTCAAATCCGGCCTCAGACCAAACACTTGACACTTACTAGCTGTGTGACCCTGGGCAAGTCACTTAACCCCAACTGCCTTAAAAAAAAAAACCAAGGGGACCATGTTTCCTGGGGTCTCTGTCTTCTCCCAAAACGGCTGTGTCTCAAAGTCTCTTTCCACGATGGGGCTTTGTATCACAAGGTCAGACGTCTTGCCCCCAAGGTCTCTTGTCCCCTCCACCTGAATCTGCCTTTTAAAACATTATTTGGAAGGCACCACTTGGCTGCTTGATACAGATGTAAAAATCACCAGGGATATCTGCCACAACGTAGCGTGCTTAAATAGAGAGCTGTGTGACTTCCTCAGTACAGGTACTCCCTCCACTGACACACTTCGCCACCCCTTCTTGCCTGGATAGGTTTCTGAGTAGCTGGGGCCAAAAAAAGATCATTCTTCTGGAGATGGGTACATCCCCTAGCACATTATCTAGGCTGTTCCTTAAATAACAGAGACATACATACTCAGGTAAAGGGTTATGCATGACGTGGGCCTCCACTTATGAGACCTGCCATGGCCTTGCATAACCTGGGTTTGCTGCTACATCACAATGAGGAACTACAGTGGGCTGCATGTGGAATGAACTTTGTGGAGTCAGAAAGGTCTGAGTTCAAATCCAGCCTCTGAAAAACAGTAATTTTGGGCAAGTCACAAAGCTGCCCTGAGACTCAGTTTCCTCATCTATAAAATGAGATGATTTGACTAGATCAGGGTGGGGAACCTGTGGTCTCAAGACCACATGTGGCCCTCTAGGTCCTCCCATGCAGCCCTCTGACTGAATCCAAACTTCACATAACAAATCCCCTTAATAAAAGGATTAGATGGTCTGTGTGGATTCTTCCACCTCTAAATTTGTGATTCTGTGCTTGGAACTTAGTAGTAGGCAATGTAGTTTACTTTTTTTGTAAATTTTTTTAAATTTTGAACTTAAATACAAAGTAAGAAAACAAAAAAGAAACAAATATAAAATAAGAAAAGGGAAAAAATTGCCATGTGCACAGCAGAATATAAGAGAGGATTCAAAATATAAAGCAATAAATTTCCATTTCAAGAAAGTCTATATAATAAATACTGCACATTTTGTTCAGGGATGTCCATCTTTTCTTTACTTCCTTGTAAGTTTTCTTTTGCTCTCTGCTATGTACTTTTTACTTTGTTCTTTTTTTCCCCCTTCCTCCCCACCCTCTCCAAGCAGGGTAAAGCATATATATGTGTATGTACATATATGTATGTATGTATGTATATGTATGTATACAGATATATGAACATTCATGCATATACTTGCACATATATATACACACAGATAAATATAATGATATGCATATATACACATACATTCATATGCATCAAAGTAAAGGTAACAGACACAAGTTTGTGCTGTGTACTTTACTTTTTAACACTCGAAGGAGCAGGCAAGTCAACTGACACAAAATCATACTTGGTCCAAGGAAGTTTTAAATTTTGGTTGTTTCTGTATATCAATGCAGGCCTATAACAATCCCTAATACACAAGAGGCACTTTGTTGATTAACTGATGTATTTTAGTTTTGTCTAACTTAGCTCCTTAACAGAAAGAGGCCATTTTTCTTAAGTCTTCTGTAGGACCCAGGGTGCCTAGCCTAGTGTTGGGCAAGAAATAAGTGTTCAACAAACCCTCATCAATCAACTGCTTAAAAACAGGGATGATTACATGCTGTTCTCCATGTCTATAAAGCGTGCCTAGCAGCCAAAACTAAAATAACTTGGAGACCAAAACAAAGTTATTTAGAAAAATTGTTATTATGTTAGATAGAGATGGTTCTGTGATTTCATTGGAATAGGAGACTCCTGAGTTGAGTTTTCTAGCTCTGCAAGCTGGCGCCTTGCCGAGAACACTGAGAGCTTACGTGAGTCGCTATAGGTCACACAGCCAGTAGCTGTCACAGAAATGTATATATGCATGTATACATGTGTATATGTACATATGTATGTGTATATGGGGTGTCCTAAAAGTCTTGGTACAGTTTTAAATTATTAAAACTTAAAATTGCATTAATACTCTTAGGACACCCAATATGGAATGTGAGTGTGTATGTGTATGTATGTGTGTATACACACAACACAAATCTGTGTATTTATCTATATACCGAGAGAGACAGAGAAAGAGACAGAAAGACAGACCTTGTTCCCATGATAGGTCTGGGAGTGACGCAAAGTATTAATAAAATACTGTCCTTGAACTCAAAACTTACTCAAATAACTCCTTGCGCTTGCTAGACTCACTGTCCAGTAACGGAGAAAGACAACAATAGAGAGACCTATGTTCTATGAAATTGCATGATAAGCACATTAGGAAGTCAGAAAACAAAGTGATGATGGGAGAGAAGGTCGTCACCAACTAGAGTGATCAGAGGAGGTCTCCTACAGGAGGGGGCATTCGAGATTGGCTCTAAAAGAAGAAGCATTTAACACACCAAGATGGAAAGGGAAGGAAATCTCCAGAACAGAAATGTCGAGGAATTTCCTGTGGCATAGAGATTGGGGAACCATGATATATATTTGAGAAGCCGAACCTGTCCAGTTTGGCTGAAATGCACAATACGTGGAGGGAAGGAATAAGAGATAAGACTGGAAAGGTAGGATGCCATCTGCTTCTGGATGATCTTGAATACCAAGGAAGAGAATAGTAAATGAAGTTGATGTTTAAAAAGCTAGATAAATTTAAAAAATATAGCTATGTTTCTTGGTGTAATAAGCATCTATCAGAGAACTTAGTCAATAATTCATTCTTTAAGAGCTCAGTCACTAGACGCAAGTTAATGATGCAAAGTTAATACTTACATGAAATCATCCCTTATGTTCCCATTGAAAGTTCCACACAGACCCATTGTTCTCCTCTTCCAGTCCGTACTGAGTTGAATATAAAGTCTTGCCCCATCTTTAGCAAATATAATCTTTAAACCAAATCTAGTTTTCAGAACAATAAACAAAGAGGACAGATTTCGAATTTCAACATGGCCTGCACAAGAAGAAAGCACATAAATCAGCTTGTATAGTTCAACTCAACAACTCTTCAGGATCTCCCAAGAACCTCTAGGAATGGTCTGAGATATTTCCAGCTCTCAGTCACAAGTATTTTTCTCCTGAAATGTGAAGTGATCAAATCTGTGGGATCTAGAGTTCTGGGAGTATAAGGATCAAGATAAGGATCCAACTTGGTTTGGAGTGGAGAAGTAATGGTATCATCCTTGGGTCTGGTGCTGTACTTGGCAGAGTCTAACTTAGAATTTAGGCTTACTGTCAGGAAAAAAAAAAACTTCCTAACAATTCAGAGTTGCCCAAAAGCAGAATGAGACACCTTGAAAGTCGGTGGGTCCCTCCACCTTGGAGGTCTTTAAGCAGAGTTTGAATAATCAATTGTAAAGGATATTATAATAAGTAGCTAGGTGGCACCGTGAATAGAACACTGGGCCTCAAGTCAAAAAGACTCATCTTTGTGAGCTCAGACACTCACAAGCTATGTGACCCTGGGCAAGTCACTTAACCCTGTTTGCCTCAGTTTCCTCATTTATAAAATGAGCTGGAGAAGGAAATGGCAAACCATTCAAGTACCTCTGCCAAGAACACCCCAAATGGGGCCATAAAGAGTCAGTCCTAACTGAACAACAAAAATTATAATGGGATGCCTTATGGGTTTGGTTTGACTAGATGGCTTCTAACAATTCTTCTAAACCTCAATTTCTATGATTTTGTGAATTCTGTGAATCTGTTTAACTTATGTCTATTAACAGGCTTAATGTTAATCCCAAGGTTTACTCAGAAAATATTTCACTCTCTGGACTAGCCCAGACTGTGGTAGAGTTGTGAGAATTAGATCTTTATCTTCCCAAGACTGAGAGAATTGTTAAAAAAAACAACAACAACAACAACCACCACCACCCATATTTGTAATGAAGTACATGAACATTCAGATTTATTGGCAGAAAATTAAGAGGTGATTATTCTTTAAATAATAAGTTTTCCTAGTGCATTAAAATATAATTCCATTAAGAAAAAAAAACAATTTGCACTCAATTTTCAGCAACTCATTATTGCATAAACATAAAGCCAAGTGTAGTTTATACACTCGAAATTTTTATTAACTATAAATATAAAAAGTGCTTTCATGTTCACGGCTTCCATGACCCTAAACTACATAATTTTCTTTCTACTTCTCTTCTGTTTCTACCTCTGCATCTTCCTCCCTTTTGGGAGTAGGGGGGGCAGAGACGGCACAGGGAAGAGGCAGATGGGGAAGTGTTCACTATTTGTGTCAACCTACCCTCTGAGAGATTTGCCTGGGATAGGGTAAGCCCTTAACCCAAGTTTTCATGACCCTGAAGGCCAGCCTTCCCACAAATATACAGACTGCCTCTTCCTCGTAAAGTCCCTAAATAAGGTGTTTTGCCGTTTTCTCTTCTCATGAAGTCTGTTATTGTTGTTCAGTCATTGCCCAGATGTGTCCAACTCTTTTTGTGACCCCATTTGGGGTTTTCTTGGCAGAGATACTGGAGTGGTTTGCCATTTCCTTCTCCAGTTCATTTTATAGATGAGGAAACTGAGGCAAACAGGTTTAAGTGACTTGCACAGTATCACACAGCTAGTAAATGTCTGAGGCCAGATTTATACTTAGGTCTTTCTGACTCAAGGCTTGGCATTCTATCCACTGAGCCACCCAGCTCTTCCTGAAGTTATCTTGTATTTACTTTATAAGTATTTTACATATATTTTTGTGTGTACATTTTATATCCCATGACAGAATGTAAGTTCTTTGAGGGCAAGGCTAGTTCATTTATGTTTTTGTGTGCCCGGCTCAATCCCAATAAATAACAATCACTTAATAAATGTTTGTCCACTGACTTTTGCTCTCCCTGTAAAGCCTTCCTTAAAGATCGCAGTCAATGTCATAGCTTTGATTGTTACCTATATATTGCGGACTCCATTTACATCTTGTTACCTTCTTTTCCCCAAGTCCCATTGCAGAATCTCCAGCTGCCTGTTGGGCATCGCCTCTGGAATGTCTTGCCAACGCCTCAACTTCAACATGCTCAACACGTAATTCACCACCCTTCTTTCTATACTATTGATTTACCTCCTGACTTGGTAAATGGGGCTCTCATTTTCAAAGTCACTGGAGCTCAAAACTTTGCAGTCACTTTCAACTCATCCTTCTCCTTCACATATGATCCTCCTGCCATATTATATTTATACAAATATGTATTGGATGTGAACTGTGGTGATGGCTTTGTGTTAGATGCTGTGGAGAATCAAAAATGCAGAATACGATGTCTCTGGCTATACATGTAGATCTGGAAAGGTCTTCAGTGGCCATCTAGGTCCATCTCTTCATTTTACAGATGTCTCAGCTTGAGTGACTTGCACAAAGTCACATAGGTACGAATCAGAGACAGAGACATCACAGATTCCAGAATCAGTGCCCCTTCCATTGTACCCAACTTGATCATCAATGTTTATAGTCTAGTTGGGTAGGCAAGGCATGCCCACAAAAAAAGTGAGATAGATAAATGAGTGGTACGGACAACAGGTATTTTAGTAATTTGGAAACAAGAGAGATTTCTATGGGATAAAAAGTTCACAGAAGGGGATGACAGAGGCAGAGAGGAGGATGGACAACATCCCAGGTATGAAACCAAGTCCTGTCCATTTTCAATCTCTCTCATCTTTGACCCACTTTCTCTGTTCTCACTACTACCCTGACATGTCCAGCCTGGACAAGATTAATAAACATTTATACTGCACTTTACAAATATTATTTCATTTGGCCTTCAAAATAACCTAGCGAGGTAAGGGTCTTTCTGAGGTTAGGCCCAGCATTCTATCCCCTGTACCACCTAGCTACCTAGGATCTTCAGATTCAGGACACAGAGCCACTCTCTGAAGCTTTATCATGAGAAAAATGACCATTAAGAGCTCTTATGTGAAATGAGGAAAATCGGAGTAAAGCAAAAGTAGGAAATAATACACAGAATGTTCCCAAAAGTTTCAGTACAGTTTTAAGGAGCTTTGAAGGTATTAATTTTTAATAGCTTAAAACTATCCTGAGACCTTTGGGACACTGTATAGCATTACTACCACAATGTAAATGGAAGCAACAATAAAAAATTGAATTTGATCATTATATAATTATAATGATCAAGCCCGACCCTGAAGAAAAGGTATGAAAATGCACCTCCCTCACTTCTCTGCAGAGGTGGGGGACTATGGAAATGGGGCACAGCATGTACTAACAGACTACTGATGTATTTGTGAATTATGCCAAACTGTGATTTTTCTTCCTTATCTTTTGTTTTAAGCGATGGCTCTAGCTGGACCATCTCCTGTCATTCTAATCTATATCTTGCCACTGGACCCAGATGGCTCCAGAGAAGAAAGTGAGGCTAGTGACTTTGCATGGCCCTGCCTCACTTAATTCCAATGCACTTGCAAGTCATGGAGTCACCTCCCTGATGTCATGGTCCTCTTCAAGAACAAAGGGCCAATGACAACAAGGGATGGCTGATGAGGTGGGAGGGCTATACCAGGAAACCAAGGGGATATAAAAACAAGATCTCAATTAAAAACATATTTAAAGAGTATTCCTTACCATTCAAATTAAAACCCTGGCTCGGGCCTGTAAGGATTTCACCTCCTCTATTAAGGATCACTTGTTTATTAAAATCATCCTCAAGAAGTAGTGCTATTGATTGCAAGCAGGCCCAGTCAAGGTTCTAAATACAAAACAGATAATTGATTAAAAAAAAAAGAGAGAGAAAAAGAATTGACCAAAATGTACATCCTTGACACAAGAACAGTTGTAAATTAAAAGGGGCAATTCAAAGAGATAATTATGCCTTCTAATTCAGAAGTCTTCTGCCCAGAGTGTAGATTAATGCCTAGCACATAGTAAGCAATAAATAAATGTTGGCATCTTCAATATAGAACGTGAAAATAAGGAACTTTTTTTTTAAGTGTCTGCATAAGATTTCCTTTTGTAGCATAAAGTGCACTGAGGCCAGGCACATTTCAAAATGTATGCAGATAACACATTAAACACATACACACACACACATACACACACACACACAGAGTAGACAAAATAAAATGAAATAAAAAGATTACTACCATTTAAACCTCTGAAGCAGATTTAACTTCCTGACATGCATTTTTTTTAAATGGCAAAATTCAATTGCCTTCCTACCTCATAGGACTGTTGTAAGAATCTAATGAGATAATATTATCATGTTGTAAACTACAAATCATTATGTAAATATGAGTGCACACATTATCAAAAATATAATCTTTTGTTGTTATTTTGAACACTTGATATTAAATTAAGCCAAATTAAGTGTTAAAACTGTAAGTCCACAAGCATTGATCAAGGGGTTTTTAATGTGCCAGGTCTGTGCTAAGCACCAGGGATACAAAGTAAAAAGTTTGATATGCTCCAATTTAGAAAGGTTGACAAAAGGCCTCGGTTTCTTTCACTATAAATTATTTACATATTTATTAGTTCAAGAAACTCTATACGAAATAAACATTCTAGTACATTAAGAAATTCCTCATATCCATTTGGCAATTCAATCCTGTCATCAAAAGAATTTATCTCTTTAAGGCACCTGTTGTAATGTAACCAAATACTTATTTCCCTTATGCAACCATGCATGAAAGGCTCAAAAAACTAAGTATAACAGAAATCACTTTTACCAAGAAAAAATATAATTATTTATGCCATTGTAGATTTGTTTCATTATTATTTTACTCATTTAGTCAAGGGAAAAACTTCTATTGACTTTTGTTACCAGGGTTGGGTTACATGACTTGTCATTTGAAATCTTTGAGTAGCAGAGTCATTTTGATTTTTAATTAAGATTGTCTTCCTTACCTCATCACAAGGAGCCTGCTGTAGAGTGATTGTGAATTTATCTTTCCCAGTCCCTTTCACTAGAATGTACTGGCAGACACCAAAAAAAGTATAATGTCGACCATCAAAAGTTGTGAAATGAGAATCACTGACCACTGAGCACTCAACTAGAAATAAAAAGGGAGATACATGAAAAGAATAAAAACAACTCAGCTCAGGGCAGAATAATCATGTAACTCGATTATTGAAAAACTAACTGCTCAGTAACTTAATTGACAAGTGGCTGTTTTTGACAAGTTTCTAGAACAAATTTCCAAATTATTCAGTCCAATTTTATTTTTTTAATTCATCAAATGATATATTTTCCACTATTCTCATTACAACCCATTACAACTTTCAAATATGTTGTCAGAGAACCAGGTTAAATATTTCATCTAATTGCCGTTCCTTGGTTGTAACCTGATTTCTGGTTTGTAAGCCAATTTTTATATTCTGGAATACTTCTAAATTTCTTACAGATTATCACAACCATTTGCCCTTTTGTCCATAAGGGACAGACCGCACACAAATTTAGTCAATGTGTTTCCACAAAATCAGTACCACCCACTTCTTAGAGCTGATTCCATTTCTATTTTCAGAGAAAATTGCTCAATGGAAATGTTAATAACTACAAGGTTACCTGGACAATCAAACTTCGTGCAATTCCAAGTTCCACCAACACAAACACTAAATGAGACACAATGCAGAACACTGTGTTAATATCTGCTCAAATAGTATATTGGTTAATGTTCAGAAAAGAATATTGATAGATTTTAAGGAAGCCAAGTTAGAAAAACATTTCAGAAAAGGTGAACTGATTGCCCAGAGCAGTGGTTGTCAAAATTTTTTGATCATGCATCCCATCCATTAAAAAAGTGTTTTTGAACATGTACCTTTAATATGTACAGACTTATTTATAAGTCTATATTTATAAATATATGTATATATATTTATAAATCACATGTGTATGCTATTCTACTGATAATTATGTACTTTATAACACACACCCAAAATAGAAACCTTTCAAAGATATGAGAACAAAATACTTGATCCAAGAGTCAACAGGAAACCACTGGAGTTTATTAAGTAGGGGGATGATACGGTCAGACCTGAATTTTGGGAAGATCATTTTGGCAGCTAAGTGGAGGATGGATTAGATTGAGAAGAGACTTGAGGAAAAGAGGCCAATTAGGAGCATATTGCATTAGTACAGGAGAAAGATGATGAGGACCTGAACTTAGGTGGCTGCTAGGTATAGGCAAAATGAAACAGATATGAAAATTATGGAGACAGAATAGACAACATTTGGCAACTGATTGGGTATACAGGATGAGGTAGGGTGAGGAGTCAAGGTGATAACACTGAGATTCTGAAAATCTGGGTGAATGGAAGAATGGTGGTGACTTTGACAGTAATATGAAAGTTTGGAATATGGGAAGAAAGATGTTATTATGAAATCTGCAACCCAGATCATAATTCATACGTCTCTGTTCATCCCATGTAAGTCACCCAAAGTGGAAAGTATGGAGGCAAGACTCTTACTCACCGATCATTTACCCCTAACAAAGAGCCTCCCCTCTGAGGGTCACTTTTGGTAGTCGTAACATGTTCTGGGAGACAACGTAGGAGTACAATCTTCCCAATGACTCTTGAACGGCTGCCTTTGTAGGTGTCTGAGAATCCAAGGGTCAGAAGAGGAGAAGGGGTGGAGGTTGGGAGCTTTGCACAGTAAAGAGAAGGGACAAAGGAAGAGGAGTGTTGAGGGATGAGGAAAGGAGTGATCATGTTGAAGACAGGACCCATGATTGGTTATGACACAGAGAGTAGGAAGGATCTTCCATCTTCCCAACAGAAACAATTAAAAAGAGAAAGTGACCTACCATTCAGAACATTCTTGTTCAATTATTGAACCAACTGAATAAGATAATCCACGGTAACTACAGGGGCACTTTTCCAAGGCTACACAAGTTCCATTGTCCATTATGAGGCCTGTGTGAAAGTATATATTCAAAGACAGTGCTTAAAATAAAAAACAAAGCATTCCAGTTCTGCTCCATGCCATATCTGCATCACATGGTCCTATTTCAATCATGCCACGTCTGTGATTCCAATAATTACCACAAAGGGGAAGCTGGTGCTAGCTGAGATCAGATATTTTCCCAAATTTGCAAATTTGCTCCAGTTGTGGATGGGGTAAAGGTGAATTGTAAAAAACTGTTTTTTGAAAAAGCTGACAAAAAGTTGGCTCTTTGTCAGACAATGCATGGGAGAAAATCTTCTTAAATATAAATCTGTATTAAATCTGCAAGTAAATATTAAAACTGGAATGAGAATCAAAGTATTATAATAGGTTTGGCTTTACTCCTCTACCTCCACCTCAAATTTACTTTAATTTTAAAGCACAGATGCAGCTCCAATTATTACATGTCTTTAACACCCAATTAAAGAAGTTTCTCTGCTGTGACATCCAAAATACCTTTGTGCCTGAATTCAGTGAAAAGTTGGCAAACTGAAGCTTCTGCTAAACACTCTTGGCCAAAGCTCCTTCGGCACTGTTCCATGAGCCATAAGCCATAACTGAAGACCAAGGAGGTCGCCCAAGACCATCCCTTCCTTTTTCCTATGAGGTCAGGCACCCTATGCTCTACAAGGTTTTATTGATTTGATGGAAACACTTACCGTCAGGACAGTAACATCCATCAAGACAATGAAGATTGCTTCCGAGGCACTCTTTTTCAAAAGTGCAGGTGGGTGGACAACAGCTGATACAATCCCGATGTATAAGGCTATCATCACATTTATCAACTGAAATATTCAAGCAGAGGAGGTATCAGTTAACTGTATTCTAAATTTTTTCAGAAGAAAAGACATCATAATCAGGTATAGTGTAACAATATTTTTGTTTAAAATTTCCTATAGCCAGATCACACTCAGAGTCAATTTTGAGCACTTGGAGCTACCAATTGTTGGCTCAGAGCAGCCCTGTGACTAAGAATTGTTGTACTTAGGACAAATGGCACAAAACATGCTTTCATTTGCCACTGAAGACATAATGAAGGGGAGAAAAAATGGCATGGCATCAGGTGGAATGTGAAAGGCATTTACTTAAGCTGCCACAATGATGGGACAGGGGGCAGGCACCATTTGGTAGCTTCCTATTTTAGTTAACCAGTCTCTTGAACTACTTTCTAGTTCTTTCTGGTCTGCTTGAGGAATCTTAGTGCTATGAGTACCTTCTAAATGTAAGTGCCTTAGGCACAAAGCACCATTGTCCCCACCCTAGCTAAAGTTCTACCTTGGCTAAACCTAAACATCAACAAATATACCAAACTTGGAAAAAAGGGAAAACATACCACATGCAGGAAAGTCATCTCTCCATTCCTGAATGGGGTAACCAACATGCGAACAAGCTCGCGCATACTCTGTAGCAGCTCGGCAATAGGTATGATCATCATTAGCTCTGAAAAATACAAAGGAACCAGAATCATGAACAAAGAAGACAGTGCTCAATGCACAAAGAATTTGATCAAGCCTTTGACCTTTCTAGACCACTGGGTTTCTCCTTCTGTTTCTTGCCAGTCACTTTGTGGGAATTTCAATAATCACTGATGACAGGATGTGTTCTCTTTATTATTGAGTATATATTTCAGTGTAGAAGATAGACAAATATAAGACATTTGGACTGATGAACATTGATGATTGTTTCTCTGTAGGGTCTTTCTACAATCTAGACTAGGGGCTCTTAACCTGAAGTGAGATTATTTATTTTTTGTTAATATTTTGATATCTTTTGCAATTCTTTGTATTTTACTTTATGCATTTAAAAGCATTATTCTGAAAAGGAGTCAAAAGATTTTACCAGATTGACATAATCAGACAAAGACACAAAAAAAGTTATGAACCTCTGAAGTCTAAACCGTTTTGGGGGTTATGAACTCATTTCTGTTGGAAGAAGTATCCATTCTAATAACATATGTCACTAGCCTTTTATTTTTCACTTTACTATCAGCACCTGTTGTGATTTTCTTAGGTTTCAATGCAACAGGCTAAGTTCCATTTCAACAAAATACCTGTAAACAGAAAATATTTACAAGTTCCACTTTCACCCCCATGAGGTTCCATGTATTGGAGCAATATCAGTATTACAAAATTAAACAATTCAGATAATCCTTTAAAATTCATTATGATATGATTTGATTCTTAGTGATATAAACTTTGTAAAGCTTCCAAAGCAGTCTCAAATTCTAGAAGATGACATTTCAAATAAAATTTTGAGTTTTATAAATTATAAATTACTAAAGCTACTCTTAACTTTTATTTTGGTCTGGACTCATAATTTCACTGAGGTAAGAACCTCCCAGTGAGAAATATCCTCTTTTACTGCATATCAGCAGTAGTATCTGCTACCTAGTCTTACAGGATTGTATAGGATCAAGGACAGGACAAGGTTTTTTGTTTTGTTTTGTTTTTTTTCCCTGAGGTCACACAGCTGGTATGTGCCATCAACAGGATGTGAATATGGACCTTGGTTCTAAGGCCATCTGTCCATCCACTACATCATACTGTCTCTCTTTGAGTGGCATTGTGTGGCTATCATAAATAAACTGAAATTATCTGCTAATTCCTAACACATTAATCTGATAAAAATCTATAAAATTGGTATTGTAAAATATATTTGTCTTTCAACACAAAAGATGAAGCACATAAAACAGAATAGGGATAAAGTCTCATAGATGAATGACATTAAGGATGTCAGGCGCCTCAACACTTTCAGCATATCTATTGTCAAGTCACCATCTCAAACAGCATGGGATTCTGAATTATTGTAACCAGAGACTGTAGTTTAACTAGTCCAATTAACTGAGTTTCATTAGAAATTATGACTTGGCAGACAAATTGAGAGGCCTTAGAAAATCTAATAAACTGAGACTAAGTCCCAAAACAAAAAACAGCCTCTTTAGACAATTTAAGCTTGAATTGATGAGATCCCAGGAACCCAGACAGCTATTATTATCTTGGGAATATTCATACTGATTCCTAACATCAACTCATGATATTCTAAGTCATTAATCCACTAAATACTAACTCACTAATCCAACCTAGAAAGTGATCTTGCTCACTTTTTAAAGACGCTAGTTTAATAATGAAGCTTAAATAAAGAAAAGTTAGACAATTCTGTGTTGGAGAATAAAGAAAATGTCTTTGCTTATACATTGAATGATTTGGAAACAAAACAAGAGTTTCATGAATTGACATCTTGTAAAGAAAAAAAAATAATGTCAATCAAAATTTAATATAAAATTCAACAATTATTAAGAGCCTACTGTGTGAAGAACACTGTGCTAGAGGTTGGGGAAGACACAAGTTTTAGATCAGACAGTCTTGGCCCTTGTGATGATATACATATATATAAGATACTATATGTAAATAACAGATGATTAAGCATTTTAGAGGGGTGAAGGACTCCAAAGTGGAAAAGTTCATTACCAGCTAAGATTGAGGGGGGATTTATGGACTATGTGACATTTGAGTTGACTTTCAGAGGAACTCAATGGACAGGACGGTGGAGAAGATTCCAGGCACTGAGAATAATGTGAACAAATACATGTAGACAGGAAAGGCAAAGCTCATGTGTGGGGGACGATGAAGAAGTGAGTTTCGCTGGAATATCGAGTACGGAGTAGAATGAGATAAAGTCAGGAAGATAAGACTGGTAAGATTGTCAAAGGTCTTGAGTGATAGGGTAAGGATTTTGAACTTTAGTCAGTAGGCAATTTGTGGGAGAGTGAGGGAGAGACATTTCAGAATTTTGAACAGTACTGTACACATATTATTTCATTTGATCCTCACAGCAGCCTGGTGAGGTAGATGCTATTATTATTCCCATTTTACACATGAGGAAACTGAGGCTGGGAGAGGTTAGGTGACTTGTCGATAGTCACACAGGTAGTGAATGTCTGAAACAGGGTTTGAATTCAGGTATTCCTGACTCCAAGTCCAGAGTATCCAGCATGCTACCTACCTGCAAAGTCCTCACTGCCCTTCTTTACTTGATGCAATCCTACTTATTCTTAATTGCCTAAATAAAACACCATCTCTTTCTTGAAGCAAATTCTTTGTTCTATATTCTCTAAAGATGTACAATGTAATAGTGTGTATTATAGTTATTGGTATGTATGTCTTATCCTCCTACTCAACCATAAGCCATATGTTGGCAAGGACTACGTGTTATCCAAACTTTGTATTTCTCTTGAGTTCTGCTTGGTCCACATGTGGCAGACAACAAATGCTTGTTTGATGAATGAATGAATGAATGAATGAATGAATGAATGAATGAATGAATGCATGCATGCATCAAGTTTACCTGATTAAAAAAAGGTAAGTGAGATTGACAAAAGCCAGTGAATCAGTTGTCACATTTACCATCCCTGACATTACTGGATTCCATTTACATAACATAACCCTAACTGGGCTGGGGAACCTTTGGCCTCGAGGCCACATGTGGCCCTCTAGGTCCTCAAGTTCAGCCCTTTGACTGAATCCAAACTCCACAGAACAAATTCCCTTAATAAAAGGATTTTGTACTGAGTACAAGAACAGCTCTAGAAGCAGGGGCCCCAAGGCAGAGCCTCAAGACAAACAGAGGTGCCAATAGCTCTGTGACAGCGACCTGTCCCTCACAGTCACCCCAATGGCATCATTCTATCTGATCCTGTCATAGCTTTCCGCCTTCTTTTCTTGACAGAGGCTAGAGAATAGCTAGGCTATTAAAGAACATGTCTTTTTCATTGGCCAAAGAAAACTGAGTCTTGATACCAGTGGCTTCTGAAATCCCACCACACTTACTTGCAAAGATCATTGATACAGCTTGCAATATAGGAATATGGATCAATATACTCATGACAGCTTAGGAAAGGAAACTGAAGCAGGATTTGACACTTGAAGAAGATCACCTGCCCAGAAGAAGAGCACGGGTTAGTGAGAGGACGGTTTTTCTCATGTGTCCTAACCGTCTTTCATATTATGTCTCAAAAGAGATTCCACTTCAGAAAATACACCTTCTATTTTTTCTATTTTTTCCAGAAAAAAAAAAAAGACAAGGCCCAGGATTTATAAGGTAAGTTTTTCCTCAGAAATAAGCTATATCATTAATTTTTTAAATTAGATTTGTGATTTCATCTACATAGAGAAATACAAGGAGCAGAACTGCCTCCATTCATCTGAATGAATGAACATTTAAGTGCTTACTAGGTAAAAAGCACTGAACTTTTGACTCCGAATCTCCACTAGACTGGTCTTCAGATCTTTCACTAAACTCATACTTTAAAAGGATTTTTTTCCCCAGATTTGGTAGGACCTGCTAGGTGTTATATCTCCATGGACTAAGATTTGAGAAGTCAACATAACCTTCAGGTCACAATAAGTGACCCCTGTGGGCTAAAACTTACTGGCAAAATTTAATATAAAGGCTTAAGAATACCATGTTCTAGAATTTCGGGGGAAACTAAATATTTAAACAAAATGAGACATTTTGTTTGCACTAAAACTGCCTATATTTTGATGACAACATAATACTACTGTCAAAATTGATAAAAAGGCAACTTACTTCAAAAGGATGTATTCCTATAGAGCATGGGCTTGGAAAATCTGATGCAGTAGCTATACATACGACATCCTCTGCAGTTTGGACAGACCAGCTATTGGCAAACATGGCGACATCTTCTGTAACTTCAGCTACTGCACAACAACATTTAATAGCATCATTTTCCATGAATACAGATGCTTTTCTCTTAACATAAAAAAGTAAAATGAAAACTTCCTGATTAAAAATAATTTTATATTCAATCAATCAAGAAGTATTTATTAAGTGCCTACTACATGCTAGTTATTGTTCTAGATGCTAGAAATACAAATATGAAGAAAGAAGCAATCTCTACTCTCAAGGAGCTTAAATTTTCACACTATTAGAAGATGGGGATGGGACTTCATTGGCTTAGGGAACTCCTCGTGAGGAAATTCATTTCACCAAGGCAGGTCAATACCTTCTCTACAATTGATAGTGTTACAGACTTGCCCAAACCTTACCCCACCCCATCTCTCTCTGTCTTTTTCTCTGTCTCTCTCTGTCTGTCTGTCTCTGTCTCTGTCTCTCACAAACACACATACACACACACACACACACACACACACACACACACACACACACACAAATACAAACACAACCAGCCAGCTAACTGAAGAGGACTTCCCGATATACCGATGCCAACAATGTGAAGATTAGAAACAAAGAGTACCAATCCCACACTATAATGGCAATCATGGCCTGAAAGTCATGGCAAAATCTTAGCCTCCTCTGTAGAATAACCCAAGAACTGCAGCAGGGAAACCTGAAGGAACAGTGAATCCCTTCACCATGTTTTTCTCCAACAATTTCTGGAGCACTTCTTTCTCAGGTCTAGCCAATGAAAAAATACAGCTTAAAGTCAAGTCAACAAGCAATTATTAAGCACCTATTGCATGCCAGTCACTGAGTTAAGCTTTGGGGATACAAGAAAGGCAAAAACACTCCCTGCCTTAAAGGAACTCACAATCAAATGGGGGAGACAATGTTCAAGTAACTATGTATAAATAAAATATACACATGATAAATTGGAGGTAATCTCAAAAGCTGAAGACATTGAAATCACCATGGGAACCATGGAAGGAACAGTGACTGGAGGCAGAAGACTTGCTTAAATTCCACCTTTGAGATTTATTAGCTGGGTGACTTTGGACTCAGTTTCCTCAACAATAAAATGGAAAAGTTGGACAGGATGACCTCTGAGGGCCCTTCCAGCTCCAAGTCTATATGTCTGAAGGTGGCACACTGGATAGAGCACCAGCCCTGGATTCAGGAGGACCTGAGTTCAAATCCGACCTCAGACACATAACACGTACTAGCTGTGTGACCCTGGGCAAGTCATTTAACCCCACTGCTTAGCCAAAAAAAAAAAAAAGCATAGTTCCAGGGGCTGCTAAGTGGCGCAGTGGATAAAGCATTGGCCCTGGATTCAGGAGGACCTGAGTTCAAATTTGACCTCAAACACATAACACTTACTAGCTGTGCCACCCTGGGCAAGTCATTTAACCCCATTGCTAGGACTAAAAAAAAAAAAAAGCATAGTTCCAGGGTTTCTTGCAGAGGCCATGCTTTTGCCTTTTGGCCACAGTGGATAGAACATGAGACCTGGAGTTGGAAAGACTTGAGTTCAAATTTGACATCAGAAACACACTAGCTGTGTGACTCTGGGAAAGGCACTTAACCTCTGACTGCCTCAGTTTCCTCATCTGTAAAATGGGGATAATAACAGCACCTACCTCCCAGGGTAGTTGTGAGGATCAAATGAGATATTAGTAAAGTACTTAGCACAGTGCCTGGCACATAGGTGCTCAATAATTGTTCCCTTCCTCCTTCCCCTTTTAAGTTGCATTAATTCTGTGGAGAAGGATGGGGACTCACCGGGAGATTTCACTGGTGTAAGAAAGTCCCTCTAACAACGGAGGTTAGCACCTCCTTTGGCATTTCCCAGAGCACAGAGAAGATATATGACTTATCCTAGGTCACTCAGCAGATGTGTTAGAGGCAGGACCTGAACCCAGCTCCTCCTAGGTTTGAGATCCGCTCTCTGTCCACTATATCATCCTGCCTCTCATAACTCTATAATGCTAATTTGAAGTCTTACTATGCATCATACTCTATTAAAAAACATTTAAAACATTTTTAAAAATACCTGTTACTACCAAAAAAAAGTATAATTACTATAAAATCAAAAAGAGTTCTTTCCTAGTAATCCATGTATTCTAAGCTTGATTTGTTCCACAGATGTTCAATACAACTAAAGAATGCTGAAGTTCAGATCCCAGAGTTCTAACCCCAGGATATAAATGACATGTTTTTCACTAATTCTCATCGTAACTAATTAAAAGAACCCCAAAAGCTGGGGTTTTTTTTTACTCATGTTGAACTTGATAAATATTAGCTTGGCTGCTTTGAAATCCAAAATGTAAATGTCTGCTGTGGGACACAGATCACAGATCAGAGAATTTTAGAGCCAAAAGGGGCCTTGGGGATCATTTTGCACCCAGCCCTCAGTCTCAGAAGCCATGAATTATGGAGAGGTTACATTCAATTTCCACTTGGCAAAAAATGTAAATCTTCCCGGACACACACAGTGAAAAGCCTAGTTTCTTTGTGATGCAGCCCCTGGAGCATAAGATACATACGAGCAGAGAAATACAATTTTTAAAATCACAAATGAGAAACTACATTCCCAACTGCATTTAATCAAGCTGCTTAGTTGCCCCTAAAATTATTTATATTAGAAAAATATAGACTGAGTTTAGAAAGCATACCAATCCTCTTACAACAAAAAGTATTAAACCTAACACCTAGACATTTCCTTGCATAAGACCACTGGTGGATTGAGGGAGAGGAGGCTTTAAAGAGACACCTTACCTAGGTTACCTATGAGGTTGCTAGAAGTTACCATACTAATTGTTTTCATTTCCTTAGTTTCTGAGACAGCCAGAAATAAAATTGTCTTCTGTGTCCTACTTTCCTTTTAGGAAACCATCTTGCCCCTTTCACTGCATTTTCTCTTATCTGTTTTGAATCCTAGTAACCCAGGATCCTCATATTGTGCCAAATGTCCCACTGTAGTGTCCAGTCTCTAGGTGTCCTCCCTCCCTGAGTAATGCCTTAAGCTCCACAAATCAGGGCTTACTAGTGTCACCGTCATAACTCTTCCTTCCACCAGGTTTATGTAGTTCCTACCCTGGTTCCCATCCACTGCTCTCCAGACAAGCTCAGGCTACTTTTTTAAAGTCAACAACGGCCCTCCCCCTTGATCCCTTGGGAAATGAAGAGATAAATGGGTTTGTATTCCTGGGCCACAGTCACAGTTTAAAATATAGGAACCATAGGATCCTGGTCAGAAATGAAGTACAACTACGAAGATGAGAATATATTTACTTGTTACATCAAAATGGCCTTAAACTGAAAAGAAAGACAGAGGGAGAAAACTGTCTAAGCATTTAACAGGGAGTCCTAGCCTATAAGTATCCCCTTGTTACCTATTCATCCATTAAGTAATATAACAGAGTCTAGCAACAATGTAAGAAGAGAAGGGCGAAGGGGACATAAGCATTTATTATATAGCACCTACTATGTACCAAGTACTATGGCACTTCATAAATTATTTCATTTGATCCTTACAACCCCCCTGAGAGGCAGCTGCTATTGGATTATCTAAATTTAACAGTTGAGAAGCCTGAGTTAACCAAAGTTTAAGTGACTTCCCCAGGGTCACACAGCTCATAAGTATCTGAGGCCACAGTTGAACTGAGGTCTTCCTGACTCCAGGCTCAGAGATCTATCCCGAGCAGTACCTGGCTGAACAGCAGTAGAGATCCAGAAAGTTCATAGGAGACAAAATACAAGAAAGGAACTAGCAATCAAACACATGGCTTCAGATGCCTATTTACAAATGCTTACACAGGTAACAAGTAAAATGAATTAGGATCATAACATAGGGAGGTAAGCTTGACTTCACAGATATCACTGAGAATTAGTGGGATGAGACTCATGCCTGGAATATAGTTCTCCAAGGCTTCAAATCTTGTTCTAAAGAAAGAAGACAGATGAGGGAGAGGGGGAAGGGTTTGGAAAGGGAGGGCAAGGATAGAATTTTTTATTAGGAAGATAATGACAATATGTGGAAATCCAGGAGCCAAAGTACACTAGAGAACATTTGGTTCTCAACAAATGAAAGCTGTATCGTCATGAGGGTATACTACAGACCACTTGGATGGAGAGAAGAAATGGATTAGAATTCAAGAAAAAAATCACAAGCTTGTCACAGAGGTATGGTGGGAGGCTTCAATTATGGAAGCATCTGTGCAAACTCTCCTGACCAAAACAAGAGAATCTTGGCAGTTAATATCCTTCAAAATCCATCTGCCCCCCCCCACATTTCTAGACTTAATTCATGTTGCTCTATGCGTTCATGATTCTAACCAAACTCACCTACGTGTTGTGCCCCAAAATGGGCATCAACTCTCCTGCCCTGTCCCCATGAGTGAATTATACTGCTTCCACCTGTTAGAATTCTTAGTCTCCTCCAAGGCTTTAACTTAAGTGACACTACCTTTTATGAAACTTTTCCTAATTCCCTTAGGGTTTTTTTTGTTGCTATTCTTCAGAAATTACTTCATATTTCCATGCTGGTGTATATGTTGGATAATAAGCTCTTTGAGGGCAAGGAATATCTCATTTTTATCCCAATCCTTAGCATCCTCTTTTGCATCTTGTGGCCCACCTGAAAAATGTTTATTGAGTTGAATTGAATAGCATTCACACCAACCTGGAAGGGCTGGTGTACAAAGAGTTGGTGAAAAGGAAGTGATGAGACTCCATCTTAAAATCTGTGTTAGAAGAGGAGAGAAAAGTCTAGAAAAGTATGTATGGCATGCACTGTAAGGTTGGGAGAGAAGATTTCAAGTACTCAAAAAAAGATTCCCTAAGACTAAGATTTTTTTAAGACTAGGTTTCCCCATTTCACCAGGCTGAAAATGCAGGAGCCACTCAGAGGCCCAATTCCTCTGCTAATCAGCAGAAAAACTTTGATCTGTTCTAATTCTGAGCCAGACCTCACCTCATTAGGCAGCCTGGTACCCCTCCTCAAGAACTCACAATATTGGTATCATGCATGGTGTGGACATCTAACTGGCTTTAGCTTTTTACCTCTCAGAGCTCCTCAATTCAGCAATCCAGCATTCTTAGTATCCTGTGTAGCAGGGATTATAAGCATTCCTATCATGCTTGGCCCATGGACTGAGATTCCAAGGGGGAATCCTCCAATGAGGAACAGCCTCAATGCTCCTGTTTTGATGAGTTTTATGACTTCTGGCATACCTCTGATTTGAACTTGATCTTGCTCTGCCCGAGCGATTCCTCAGAAGAAATCCTGTAGGAAGCTGAATGTGGCACAAACCTTTCCTTTGCCTCCACAAAACCTAGCTGTGACCCACATCATCAGGACCTTTACTTCTAGGGACTTAACAAACAACTTCACTATGTTAATGATATGGAAATGTTTTTCATCTTAGGTGGAATGTTTGCATTTTGACAGAATACTTCTGGCAATACCAGCTTTTAAACCTAAAGAAATAAATATAATTTTGAGAATGTTACGCATGAAGCACAACAAAATGGCTGGGGCCTACCTAGATACCCATAAGCCTTTCAGCTACTTCTGTTGACCTGCCTTGGACCAGCCTTGCTCTCCTTATTAAAGACATAAACAAACACCTTTCACCTTCATTTATACATTGATTTGTGTGGACATACAACTGTATAATCCCCAGCAATTCTTTCATACTTTTACCACTGCATATTGGTGTCTACAGGAAAAACAGACCCTGTTTTTAGAAAATCATCAAGGTAATTGTCACTCAAAAACATTCAACAGTCCACCTAGGTAAAATGGTATGATTTCAGGTTAATTTTACCCCCTTTCCCAACGTACCAGCTATTATGAAAGGTAAAATTTAAGTTGTTCATTTTTCTGTTCATCATCTTAAAATGTAAAAGTAGGACTTTTGGAAATAACCATTTCCAATACGTTGGGAATTGATACAATCTGCTGGAGTTTAAAGGAACATCATTCACTAAAGAATAGAAGTATTTCACAGATGAAAGTGAATAGATAAGCAAATAGATAATCAATGCCTGGAAATAAACTCTTCCAAAAAATTGTGCTATTTTCTTTGTATTCCTCTGTATGTCACTCTACCTTTCCAAAAAACTACCAATTTGCAATCATTTAAGATGGCCTTACTGGGACTGGCTACAAAATATCTCTCCCCCAAATAGGCAGATATGCCCCAAAGGTGTTCCAAATTTACATTTCTATTTAGTCAAATGTAAAGTATTTACTGTTTCTTAAGTCTTACTTGAAAGAAAGTACTATCCTATTTGAGTATCACTTAACATAATAATATGGGAAAAGTGACTGCCAGCTGATATCTCCAACAGTCTGAGATCAACAGCTTGGACAGGGAAGAGAAGACATTCTAACTCACTCCCACCATCATCAACAACCAGCACTTCCTGCGGGCCAAGGTTAAGGGACCCACCATCCTCTCTGTCTCCCAGACTCACAACCTTGATCTTCCTGAAGTTAAGGTCAGATCATGTCAACCCCGTCCATGAACATTCAATAAATTTCAATGGCTCTCTATAAATTCCAGGATCAAATAAGAAATTGTTTGTTTAGCTTCTCATGACTGGGCCCCTTCCTACCTTTCTCCAGTCTTCTGACACTTTCCTCCCCTCTATGTACTCTACGATCCAGTGACCCAGACCTTCTTGTTCTTGACAGACAACACTCAATCCCTCAACTCTGCCTTTTTGCTGGCTGTCTGCCATGACTGTAATGCTCTCCTATTTACCTTCACCTCCTAGCTTTTCTGGCTTCCTTCAAGACTCCGCTCAAACACCACCTACTTCAAATCCCCAGTGTGCTTTGGTCGTTCTAGGCATTTCACTTACCATGCTGTATTTGCAAGTCATCGGACTGAATGCTGTTATAATTCCCACACAGACCACTGGTTTTTCCTCTGTGGTCCTCAGACAACTTGATGTAAATGCCAGATATGCCATCCCAAGCCAATGAAAAGCCAAAGTTTGTTTTCACCAGAATGTAGTCAGCGAGCCTCTCAATGTAGACATGCCCAATTGTCTGTGGCAATGTCAACCTGGAAAAATAGAACAAAAGTATTCCTACGAGCTCTGACATAAAGTCAATGATAATGACCTTGGAGGGAAAGTCTTCTAGAATTATTTGGTTCTTCAAATGGTAAGAAATTTTCTCCGTCAATACTAATAGACTTAGTTACTAAACACCCAATCAGTAATTTAGTTCAATTTAATTCAACCATGAGTTAATCTAGCAACATGCACATATTATATACTAAAAGGGCATACTATGTGCAAGGCAATGTTCTAGGCTCTAGAGATACAAAGACGAAATAATATAGTCTTCAAGGAATTTACAATCTAATGGGGGTGAGGATTGAGATATCTACACAAATAGCTGTAACACAAAGCAGAACATGATCAATTCAAATGATGGATCCATTTCATTTCAGGCCAATTCAACCAATAGAACCATCATTTATTAAGTTTCTACCATGTGCAAGGCACAAACTGTTGTAAATAACAACAATAACAATAATACCTCTTCTAGCTTTAGGGGAAAAAGACAAAAGGAAGACAAGGGAAAATCAAGATACCCAGCATAAAGAAGAGTTGAGCCTTGAAGCAAGGGAAAAATTTCAAAAGGGAAGAATGGAGGGAAATGCGGAATGAATCCAGTCTGGCATGGCATACAGCAGTGAGCAAAGTCACAGAAACTGGATATGACAGTCATACTTGGATCCTGCCTACATATCCAATTATCTACAAGATGTACCTGAATGTCCCACTGGCTCTTCAAATTCAACATGACCAAAACTAAACTTGGAATATGTCCCAATGAAGCCTATTCTTCCTTCTGATTTCATTATCTCTGTCAAAGCCATTACCATTTACCTAGTCTCCCATGTTTGAAAACTTTATGTTATCTTTGGATTTTAGAGTTCTGAGAGAAGGAAGAGTTCCTATCATTCACCAAATCCTTTTTAATTTAATCCCTGCAAAATCTCTGACCCATCCTCTCTATTCCCACAAACTACTAGAAAAAGAAATGTATTGCCTTTTCATCTACTCATCACACATCTGCCTATTACAACAATCTCCTAACAACCTCTTTTTTGCCTCCACTCCTTTCCTCCTCCTATTCATCTTCACAGAGGTACCATATTGATTTTCCTTATGGATAGACTTGTTCATGTCACTTCCTCTGCTAAAAACAAAACCTTCAATGGCTCCCTATTTCCTAATGAGTGAAGTTAAAACTCGTCCATCTAGCCTTTCAATCTCCCCACTATAGCACCATCTGATTTTGCAGCTCAATCTTTTATTGCTTCCTTAAATATATTCTATGCAGCAAAGTGAATGATTCACAGTGCTTTGTACACACCCTGCACATTCCCACCTCTGCACCTTTGTCCATGCCTGTTCCTTATGTCTGATGAGCCTTTGGCTTCCTTCTGTCTCTTGAATTTTTATCTTTCTTACAAAACCTGATTCAAATGTCACCTCTAGGAAACTTTGTTGCCCCCCCTGAGACATCACATAGCACTTTGTTTTTAATTTTATAAATTTATTGTGTATCATGATTTTGTACTAGAGTTGTTTATGCTTGTGCCCTATTTCTTTAATGGATGGTAAGCCCTATGAGGCCAGGGACCATGTATTATTCATTTATTTATTTACTGCATTAAACAAATACCCAATATGCACTGTGTGTTTAGTACAGCTTCATTACTTCCTCCAATAGTATTCGATTGGTTTCAACTAATGTTTTAACATGGAGAAAAATCATTACTGAAATTATTTTTAAAACTACTGTTGTCCCCCATATTATAGGAGTGGTTTGGGGTAAAAGACAGAATTCTGGGATTTGATTTGGGAAGACCTAGGTTAAGTCCTTCCTCTGATACTTACTAGCTATGTGACTGACCTTGGATAAGTCATGTAACTTCTGTTTCTCAGTTAATGGTACATGACTTATTTACTAAATATATATGGCCTTTTCCATATCAGCCAAAGCAAAGATGCATTTCCCCATGCTGAAGAAATTACAGGCCTTTCATATATTCATCTGCCTATCCTCACATTGGAGGCAACTAGGTGGCTCAGTGAATAGGGTACCAGGCCCAGAGTCAGGAAGATTCACCTTTCTGAGTTCAAATCTGGCCTCATTTGCTTACTAGCTGTGTGACCCTGAACAAATCATTTAACCCTCTCTGCCTCAGTTTCTTCATCTATAAAATGAGCTTGGAGCGAAAATGGAAAACTACTCCAGTATCCTCACCAAGAAAATTCCAAATGGGGAAACAAAGAGTTGGACATGACTGTGAACAACAACAAAATCCTCACCTTAAGGCATATATTTGACATAGGAAGCTCCTTTATTTAAAAAAAAAATCTTTTTACTACAAATTTAGTAATATCAACAAATAAACATTCTATTTACAAAGAAGAACAGAAAAAGAAGAGTGTATAGGAAATTATTAATCCCTATTATGTATAACTTGGGATTTTTAAAAGTATAATTCAGTTTAACATGACAGTTTAATACTAACTAGCTTTTCTGTGTTCCATTCTAAACTTCCTTCTGCTTTCTTCTGTGTATTTTTAAAAGTGGTTTAGAACTCCTCTCAACCAAAGGGCTACAGCATATTCCAAAATATCACTAATGCATAGCATCCAGAGGATGAATCTAACGGCACTTTCTCAGGAATATTTTTGCCACTTCTAGCAATATTTGCTGAAATAATAACAGATATAACAATGGTAGCACATGTCTCAAGCTGTCCTGTTCCCCCTCCCTAAGTCAGCAAGGTGTATTAAAAGAGCAATGAACTCAGAGACCTTCGTTCAAATACTGACTGACTCTTTTGTAGCTATGTGTCTCTGAGCAAGTCACTGATTCTACATCTCACTTTCCTCATTTCTAAAATAGGGATAATATGACTTTTGCCACTTTCCTCATAAGATGATAGTGAGGAAAGTGCTCTATTAAAAATGAGAAGCAATATGGTATAGTGAATAAATTAAAATGAATAAATAATTGAATGAATGAGCAAATCAATCAATGAGTGAATGAATGAAAAAATAAATGAAAGGCATTATTTATGCACTTTTATGTGCCAAGCATGGTACTAATCATTGAGGATGCATATTCAAAAGAGATGTCCCTGTTTTTGAAGAACTTATGTTCAAATAATAGAGACAATATATTATAGGAGAGCAGTGGCAAGCAAGGGGAGTTATGGTCCAGGAAGTCACAAAGATGCTAAGTAGAATAATAGGGCAGTCAATTGACATGCCCTATTGGAAATTAACCCTCTAAACACAAAGTGCCCTAGAGATGGAGGAGATTTGGTGTGATGGGTGTCACTATAGGCACAAACCTGGCACCAGGTTTGTGGGCCATAAAGCAGAACTAACAAGGCAAGTGAGTATAGACATGGGATTATAGATAAGGTCAAATTCTGATTGGTGAGGTGAGGTCGTGGCAACTAGTTGGAAGGAATGGGGAGAGAGAACCTAGGACCCCAATTCTATGCAGGTTACTGCCACAAGGAACAGCCTGTTTTCATTTGGGGAATAAGGAAGACAAGGAGGAGCTGTACTCATCCATGATATGACCTTCATAACTGGTTCACTTGAATCCTTTAAAAAAAAACCACTAGTGATACTTAGCTTTAATGAGGCACATCATCAGGACTGGCCCAGGACACAGGGGTTTGAATCCCCCCTCAGATACCCACCTTGAGCAAGCATTTTATCATCTCTGGCCTCCCCTTTCTTACCCATAAGATGAGGGGGCTGGATCAGACCATCTCTATGAACCCTGACAGAGCTAAATCCATAATCCTATTGTAACAGCCTCACCCATAGAGGCTAGAGATAGTTACCATATCATTGAGAGGCAATGGAATCTTGGACAATGAGTCTGTGAGGAGACTCAGAGTTTTAACTGACATTCTAAAAGATTATCTGTCATGGCTTAAAAAGATTAAATGAAATACAGAGAGAAAGAAGATGAAGTGTACTGTCCTAAGAGAACTGTTTAAAATCCTATCTTGTGAAGAAGTATTTATAAAAAGAATTCTTAAAAGATGTTGGCTGCAAGCCTGAGAAAGCCGAAGAACAGAACAACATTTCAGGTATAAAGAGAAGCCAGCAGTTGTAATGATTTTTAAGGGTGACTTGGCTTTAATATCTCCCATAGCTCACAGATTGCAAACAATTATTTATGTCTTCATTTTATTGTCTGTTGTACTTTCAATAAATAGTACAGACGGTAGCCTTGATATTTAATTAAACTGGTATGCACTGATATTATTTAATTAAACATAGGAAATTAGGGAATTTGACATAGAGAAATAAACAAAGAGCTTTGGAGAAAGAGGCATCTCCAATATATTTTTTAAAACCTGGTACACTGAGGTAGGGTCTCAGAGCTCATTAATTATTGAGAGAAATGTTGCAATTTTAGTATGGAAGAATCAGAATATTCTCCTCTATTTATTACCTTTGAACCCAAGATAAGAATGAACATAAGGCAAACGAAGCAGGAGCAAGAAGAGGGAAAGGTGATCACCCCACTTCGGCTAGATCAATCCTAAAATCCTGCCACACTATGATACTTTCTTTCTACTGGAACTATGATTTTATTGCTGTAGGAAGCTTGTGGTGAAGAATTTCCTTTCCCACTGTGGTCAGGTATTTTTCTCTGCAATTTATAGGCCTTAGGGATTTTCCTGGGGCACAATGCTCTGTTTCACAAGGTAGTATATGGCAGAGGCTGGACTTTAACCCAACTCTTCCAGATTCTGAGGCTGGATATTTACCCATGATGCTACTATGACACTCTGCCTCTTAATTCTATGATATGATTTTATTAGCAGTAGTAGCCATTGAGGAATGATACACCTTTATTACCCAAAGCAATCTGTGTCTTACAAAGGAAAAAACATGCAGGGGTAACTGGATATAGCTACATTCAAGCAGTATGGATCACTGATAAAGAATCACAGAACACTTGAGTACTTGATCCAGACCCTTCAAACATGGCATTTTTCCTCACATACATGCACAAGGAAGGGGCCGACGGAATTTGGGGAGGGTAATCACTCCTAGGGTCACAGTATGATACCCAGCACTTCGTTGGGGGAGAATTTTTTTCACTCCCATGTATTAACACTGCCTTGCACATAGAGAATCTTAATACATGCTTGTACTGAATAACATTGAGTACTTCACAGAAAAGTAGGTGACCGAATACAAATCTTTTCTAATTCATTTGCTGAGTGTCCTGTGCCATCTAGTCTCAATATTCTAACAAGTTAATGCTAGTATTTGAATTACAGAATTTTTTTGAACTGTACAGAATCTTGGAGACCATCTAGGCCAAATTTCTCATCTCATGATATGGAAAATATGACCCAGGGAGGTAAAGCACATTTTGGGGGAGCTTTTTTTAACCTTTTCAAAACAAAATAATTTGATAAGATGATAATAATAATAGAAATAATTGTATTATACATGCCTCCAGCTGTACTCCCTGTACCCCAAACCCAAGAGGCATCAGGTATGGTAAAAGGGTGCTGAATTAGGAACCAGAAGACCTGAATCCAAATTTTGATTCTGATTAATTCTGGGCAAGTCATTGATTCTTTGTCTTATTTTTCTCATCCCTAAAATGGGAAGAATAAAACTGATACCATCTTCTTCATGGAATGATTGCAAGGAGTGCTTTGTAAAAAAAAAAAGTGAGACATAGCATGCCATAGTGAATGACTGAAAAGCATTGATTATCAGCCCATCACTTTCTAGGTGCTGAGGATACAAACACAAAAGTGAGATGGTCCCTGAATTAAAGGAATTTACATGCTAATGGCCTCTGTGAAATTACTGTAAGTTTCTTACTAGGTAAATTCTTAAGTTTATTTTAGATGAGGAAATGCTACCTTCTTATTCCCCAAAACTCATTTCCACTCTGAGCTGCTTCGAAATTGCATTGCAAATTTCATTTGAGCAACTATCAGATCATACCTGATTCCATCTTTCTTTACTTCATGACCAGAAATGAGAATTTCTTCTTGGCTTGAAAAGAACAAGCTAACTGACCGATGGCAGTAGTACACGGAACCAGGGCACTTAGGACTATTATGAACCTGGAGAGGAGAAAAATAAACACAGCTGATGGGAGCCAAGAAAAAAAAAATAAGTTTACTAGTGTTGCATTTCCATAGTCCCATTACTTCCCGGCACTTTACAAATGTTATATAACTACACTTAGGGATCGCTTACTTTACCAATGGAAAGTTTAGAACAGAAGAGAAAATGCTTTCTCTAACTGAAATGTCAGGGAGAATTTAGGGAGATGTTATCTTTAGCTTAGAAAACAGTAAAGAGAATTGATTTGCTAAAATATATACACGTACATACATTTAGATAGATATAGATATGTGACTCAAGCCTTACTGGGTTGGCTTCAGTGTTGTTTACTCTTACATTTATATAGTACCTTTTTCTTTTCAAGACCTGAAACTACCCATGTAAGGTTTCAGAATTCCAAAGCCCCATATCATGTACTGGAAACAAGAAGAGCTACTGAGCTCCAGACAATGTTTGTAACTTGATGTTACCTATTAGAGAATCATGAAATATGCTTCAAATGGAGCAAAGCTAAGGATATTTGGAAGTCTGCATGGCATAGTATAGGGGTGGGGAACCTTTGGCCTCGAGGCCACATATGGCCCTCTAGGTCCTCAAGTGCAGCCCTTTGACTGAATCTAAACTTCACAGAACAAATAAAAGGATTTGTTCTGTAAAACTTGGACTCAATCACAAGGCCGCACCCGAGCACCTAGAAGGCTACATGTGGCCTTCAGGCCAGAGGTTTCCCATCCCTGGCATAATGCATTAACAGTAACAGCTGGAGCCAGAAAGACCTAGGTTCAAGTTCTGCCTTTGACTTCTACTAGGTGTACGATTCTGTGCAAGTCATTTGACCCTTCAGTGACCCAGGCAGCTCTCTGAGTCTGAGACTAGAAGTTGCAGGGTGGGTACTGATTTTCCCCAGTAGAGGTAATTTTAATTTACTGGGTATTCCCAGAAGTCCTAGTTCAGCTTTACATTTTAATAGTTTAAAATTTCATTAAGACTTGTTAGACACTCTATATATGAGTATATAGAGATATACACACATAAATATAGAAAAGGGAATATTAGTAAGGGAGAGGGATGGCAGGAAGAAAGCAAGAGTATGAAAAGAAATAAATAGAATTCTAGATTTTTCCAATCTACGATGGTGTAGGTAATGGAGTTTCCATACTGAGACTACACTATATTAATGAAATCACAGATCCAGACTGGAAACAAAAAAAAACTATAGAAAGTGTCATATATACAGCTTCACCAAAGAAAAAAAAAGTTCCACTGGTGAATCTGAAAAAGATTCCAAGAATGAAACCATCCCTAATGTAAACAACATCTCTTAAAAGTAGAAACAGAGCTAGAGTTCGTATCTTAATATTAATGCATAAATATAATCCTTTCTTGAGCCTAACATTCACAAAACATTTATAAATCACCTGTTGTATATAGAGGGCAATTAGGTGGTGCATCGAATAGAGCCCTGGCCCTGGAGTCAGCAGGATCTGAGTTCAAATCCAGCCTCAGACACTTACTAGATGCGTAACACTGGGTAAGTCACTTAACCCTGTTTGCCTCAGTTTCCTCATATGTAAAAGTGAGCTGGAGAAGAAAACGGCAAATCATTTCAGTACCTTTGTCAAGAGAACCCCAAATGGGGTCGCCAAGAGTCAGACTCAACAATAACAATTACATACAGACTATCACGCTAAGGAAAAAAAGAAAGACAAAATTTAGCTAAGCCACCAGAGTCTCTACCCTCATGGAACTTAGAGTCTTAGATGGGGATAAGACCCAATAGAAGTAACTGTGATATATACAATAATTCATGAATAAGTTCATTATAAAGGTGCATAATGAAGTGCTGTTGGAGATATGAAGGAGGAAAGATGATTGCCAACAGAGGTAATTAGGGATGGCTTTACTGATATGGTGTCATTTGGCTCTTGGTGGATGGTGAGAAGAATTCAACGATGTTACATGACCAGATCTATTTGTAAGGAAGATTATTCTGGTATTGGATATGCCAGGCATGTGCTGAATTGAAGGAAGGGAAAGGGTGGAGGAAAAGAAGTTCTATTAGATGACTACCAAAAAATTATGCAGAGAATCAGTAACAATAGCTTGTACTAGGGTAATGGTGATGAGAATAGGAAAAGGGAAGGAATGTAAAAAATATTGTGAAGATAGAATAGACAAGACTTTGGCAAATGGTTGGATATGAGAGGCGTGAGAAAGGGAAAAGTCAGATACCACCAAGGTTTGGCATTACCCATCACAGCCTTTTCTATTCGTGAATCTTGTTCTATGTTTAGTTATGATTTTTGTGTATTTGTCTTTTCCCTGTTACTAGATGGCATGCTCCATGAGGGCAATGGGAATATCTGACCGATCTGTGTTTGTCTCCACAAAAACGAACACAATTATCTGCATTTATTTGGTGCTTAATAAGTGGTAACTGAATTTGAGTTTGAAGAATTGAACATTCAATCAACAAGCTTTTATTACCAGTAGACTTGTGCTGGGCAAAGTATCTAGCTTTGAACCCTGAAGTATCATATGATCATAGATTTAGATGTACAAGAAACATGAGAAGAGACATACGACCACGGATTTAAAGCTGAAAAGGACCTTAGAGATCATTATCCAAATGACTCCAAAACCAGGACTCACTTCATTCGGCCAAGCAAGTCAGGTAAAAAACAAAAGGCAAGTAGGAAGGGCTGGTGGCTCTAAGCCCTGGGAATCTGGGCCAGCATGAGAAAGGGCAGGCCAGTAGAAAAAGAGCACCTGAGGTAGGGTCTACAGAAGAAGAAGGCCTGGAACACAGAATGGGAACACTAGACACAAACAAAGTCTTCCCACCTACTTCTTTTTCCTGCAGCCAGCCCTGTCTGTGGCACAGATGCAGACAGATTTGTGATCCTGTTGAGTCATTACACTCCATTTAGTAACTTCCAACACGACCTATTTCCTTCCTGGGATTCAAGAATTTAATGGCCCTTTTTTGTTGTTGTTGCCGCTGTTGTTTTAAAACGCCTCTCTGACTCCTTTCAATATCTGTGCTCCTTTACTTTTATCAGCACTTATTTCCATCCCTTTGTCACTGGACCACCTGTTTTGTCTCCCTCCTCCGCCATCATTCCTTTGTTTCTGCTATCAAAACTATGCCATCTGCATATATTAATCTCTTGTTGCATGTGGGAGGAGGAGATGGCTCAAGCCATCCCAAACAAAGACATGAGAGAAAAAGAGAAAGGTTTCAGCAAATCAAGACAGTGGGAAACTCCAGCTCTTAAATCCTATGTGGCTTCATGATTCTTCTTCAACATGTACAAGTAATCTCTGTGCTGAATGAAATATACTCTCTTTCCATTGATATGAGCTTTCTCTCTAAAGAGAATAATGCTATAAGAAAGAAGAAAAGTCATAACTTAGAAAAGAGAGGTAATGTGGAATGATGGATAGAAAGCCAGGGGCCAGGAAGACTTAGCTTATTCCAGTCCTCTTTGTCACATGCTAGCCAGGGGACCATGGAGAAGTCACATACCCCCCAAATAAACACACACACACAAAACTGAAATTCTGAAAATCAAGGAAGAGATAAACAAAATTGAATATTAAAAAGTATTTATTTGATAAATCTGGGCTGGTTTTTCAAAAACAATTAATAAAACAGAAAAACCACTAGCTAATTCAATTTTCCAAAAGAGAACAAAGCAGATTACTTAACCTCTCCATGTCCCAGTCAACTCTCTAAACTATAACTTATAGGGGAGTCACCAATCTACATCAATGGAATGAGTATCTACACCAAGAGTTTTCCACATGAATGAAATGACTGTTCCAGATCCCCACTCTCCCATACACACACACCCAAAATATGTAGAAGAAAGAAGCATCACTGAAGAAGAAAAAGAAATGTGAGGAGAAAGAAACAGTGAAGTATCTATTCACCCTACTCTCTCCAAACTTCAAAAAAAATACTAAAATGATATAGCTTAAGGATAAAGACATGTCACCTAACAAATACTGATTTTCAAGTATCAGTGGCAGCAGAGTACATTTGGACGGCCTGATAAATATATTCCCACCCAAGTATTCTCCTTCTTTCATTCTTGGTCCTATACTCAGGCTAGACTAAAAGGTTGATTCAGTCCGTTCAGCTTAGAAGCTGTTCGAGATGCCATCATCATCCAATATTTTCCATCGTGAATCAAGATCTTTTTAAGCACAGTCACTTCCGTCCCTGGGTTACCTACCCAAACAGTGTACTGGGGTTCTTGAGCACCACAGTCCTTTGCCAAAATGTAAGAACAGTTTCCTGGGAAGTAATAATAGATGCCATCGAATGTTTCAAAATGGTGTTGTCCCCAGGTTTTGCAGATTCCATCTCTCTCCTTACCTGTGTTAGGCACTGAAGGAAACAAAGCAAAATAAGGTCATAATTAGCAAGATTAAAAAAAAATTGGTCATATTTTTTCATCGCTTCAGAAGAAGAGCCAATTCAGATTCCCATTTTAAAAGGTGCATACTTAATTCTGATCATTGAATTATCATAATCAATATTGCAACATCTATTCTAGGATCTCCACACCTGGGTTCGATCTAGCTTCAGATATTTATGTGTGACCCTGAAAAAGTAATTTAGCCTCTATTTGACTTAGTTTCCTCACTTGCAAAAAAATGAGATAATAAATCTTACCTCCCAGGGTTATTATGAGGATAAAGTGAAAAAATTAATTTTATCTGTTATCTATAAAATGCTTTATAAACCTTAAAGCAATATGTAAATGCTATATAAATATATATGCATATTATATGCATATTTACTTTTATATGTGTAAGTACTTATATGTTATACATATATCTATGCATAAAACATGTAAATATACATATAAAGGAAATACACACATATAAATATGTGCATGTTCATATAAACCTATACACATGTATATGTACATATATACCTGTGTGTATTTAAAACATACATACACATATATATGTATGCGTGTGTGTATTTGGTAGTATTTCCACATTGCAAAGGAATGGAAAGGTGGTATCAATGGGGAATGGCTAAATAATAAGTGATACATTCACATAATGAAATACTTGTGTCACCAAGAAGGATGAATCTGAAAAATACAAAGAAACATATGAAGATGTATAAAAACTGATGGAAAGTGAAGTAAGCAGAGCCAGAGGAGCCACTTAGAGGACCACTCAGATTTGGAATCATAAACACTCAGGTTCGAATTCAACCTCAGATACTTACTAGCAGTGTGACCCTGGCTAAATCATTTAAATTCTCTGTTTCCTTCTCTATAAAATGAAAGGTTTGGATTTGAAGTCTTTAAGGCTCCTTCCAGCTCTAAATATATAATCCTATGCTCCTCACCTTTTACACATGAGAAAAATTAATTCTCAGGACTGTAAAATGACTTTCCCAGAGTCATGCAGTGAGTGATGGCAGGACTTGGGCTCCATTGTAGGTCTTGACTCCAAATCAAGTGCCCTTGCAGCAAACCCCAAGCAATGAAGGGTTATCAATGAAATAATAGATTTCACCAATACCTAGTCAAACGCAAATAATGCCAGCTTCCTAATAGCATGGGCTGCTCCATTCTTGCCTTTGTATTCCCATAGCCCAGTCCCTGTGACCTAGTCAGTGCTTAATAAATATATCTTGAATTAAATTGATGTGAGAAATATGTATTATTCAAGAAATTTATATAGAATTTTGAAATCTATAAAATCAAGTGTAGTCAAATTCAAATAAAAGAAACACTTTGTCTGTACTGCCTCCTCCTCTTGTGTATCACCTCACATTTATCACCACCTTTCCTACCACATTCCCCATCTTCTACCCCTTCCCATGTACCATCCCTATTCACTTGGGTGGAGCTAAAGAAAGGAGGCAGTCAGGTGGTATGGGAAGAGAGCGGGCCAGAGTCAGGAGATTTCTATTCATCAGCTCCATCATGTCATACAACTTCTTATAATTTCTTATCATTTCTGAGGAATATTCCATTCCATCCATGTCACACAGTGTGCACTGATATTGTTTCCAGGTCTTTGCTACCACAAAAAGTGTTCTACCTTGGTTGATTATTGACTGGTTCTCTAAGCCCCAGGTCTTCATTTGTCAAAGGAGGGAATTAGACCAGATGACCTTTCTGTCCCTTTGATTTGCACTAATAAGATAAAAATAAGTCTCAGAGCTATTAACCATTCTAAGTGTAAGCCACTCACAAAAATATAATGAGTAGATTGAGCCAGTAAGTCTATGATACTGCTGTTTTTAATCAAATAGGTTGACCTTGTACAAACTTTAGCCTCTTCATTTAGCCATGATATGCTCCTTTCATGCTCAGAATCTCAGCCTCCCCTCCCCCATTCAAAACAAAGACAAATGAGCATGTTATGGGGTCATGATCAGTCACTGGCTCCAAATAACGTCTTATTTGTAAAAAATAAGTAGGCAATTAGTGAGAACCCAGGCTCAATGCCTTGGCTCTGCCTAAAGTAGAAGAGTAGCTTGTGAAAACAGAATGGGGAAATGGGAAGGTAAGTATATCTATTTTCTTTTACATTGGTTTTTAAATTACCTTAAATTACCCAGCTTGAATTGAAGAGTTTCCAGTAGATTTACATTATGATTGCCATGTAGCTCTATGGATGAGTGCTACTATAGCAAACTATCCCATAAATTTCCCCTCAATTAAGAAATTGGATTCCCCTGCATATCTCTGAAGCTTACCAATCTGGCACCTTTCCCCAAGGGCCTGAAATATCTGACAGTCACATGTACCGGCCGCTGAACAGAAAGCCCCATTTAGGCATTCATGAGGGCAAGAACCTGCAAATCAAAAAAGAGTTGACTTCTGGAATGCATCGCTTCATATAAACACAATAGATCAAGGTTTAGCTTGGGCTAAACTTAGCCGTTAACTCAAACAGAACCCAGCTCCACCACGGGCTCTGGCTAAAACAGTCAACCAATAACGTCCCTCAGTTCATTTCACCGTGTGTACTCCAAAGTGGGGAGAAAGGCTTACAAAGCTCAAACTAACTCAAGAGCAAAGGTTAACCTCTTCCAAGCAACTGAAAGGTCAAGTTCCCATGTAAGGAATCCAAATCCCAGTTGACAAGAACCAGAAATATACAAGTTGCAGATGATTCCGTTGACAAAGCTTGGCAGGAGTTGTACATATATTCAACTTTTCCTCACAACTCGATGCAGTATTAAGAAAAATTCTCAGCTAGAGATCAAATAGATCAGTTATAAAATCCCATTTAGAAATTCTTCCCCCTTCCCATCCCCCTCCAAAAAATGCCCTTGATCACCATTTCCTGAAAAATATTACTCAGGAAAACAAGTCATTGGGAACAGAAAATTTCATGGCCATCCATCACTAGGATATGAAAACTGAAAATTATAATGTTGATGTTTTGTTTAATGTTCACAATCTAAATATTTCATTTAAAGTTTGTATATTGTTCTTTATGCAGAGCTAAAAATGAAGTACTCTCTCAGGCCCACACTTTAAAGGCAGAGACCAAAGTTATAGTCATCCTATGTGGAATTTTTTTTTCATTTATGTCCAGAAAAATAACATGGCCCCAGGGGACTGGACAAAGCTCCAGGAAGCCAGAAACTAGAAATTCTAACCCTAATTTTGCCTCTACTTGCTGGGTGATCTCAAAAAAAAAAAAGTAAATGGGTCACAGTTAAAAGCTATCCTCTGTATCTATTGGGAACAGGACAAGAGGGAATAAGTTCAGATTACAGTTAGAAGTATTTAAGTTACCCATCAGGGATATAAGAACGGCTAGCCACTGGAACTTATCACCAAAGCAACTTGTTCAGTCTTCAATGGAGATTTTAAAGGAAAGGGTAGATAATTATCTTTCTGGCCTGGTTTATGTACAAGACTTTCTACAGGCAGGGGGAAGGACTTGATGACTTCTTGAATTCCTTCTCTATCCCCTTATGATCCTATAATGCTTCTATTTTTATAATGAGCCAAATAGTCTAAATGAGCGGTGTCAAACAAATCTAAACAGGGGCCACTAATCCATACAGAAGGATTTCCAAGTGCCACATATTGACTTCATTTTAAAATGTAATATAATCTATGTTTGATTGTATTTTTATTTATTTTGTTAAATTTCCCAAATACATTTTAATCAAACTTCCTAATGTAATTTCCCAATTAGATTTTAATCTGATTCAGGCTGTACTCAGGAGTGTTGCAGCCCCATGCCATCCATAGGCTGCCCATAGACACCTCTGGTCTAAACACATTTTAATTGGGGGAAAAACTAATTGATATGACCTTGCTCATAAATACTGATAAGTGATCAGGATCTTCTTGAAGAGTGGATAGAGAGACAGCCTCTTATCCCCAAAGAACTGGGTTCAAGTCACGCCTGTACCCCATAATGGCTGTGTGACCTTGGACAAGACCCTTTGCCTCTCAGTGCTCTAGGCAACTCTCAAGACTATATTGGCAGAGAAGTTGCCAACCTGCTTTGGGAGAGAGAATTCTTCTACCAGGAGCTCCCCATGCCAATGAAGTCAGATCCACTCCCTATTGCAAGTTCTTAAATCCATATGTGCTTTACCTTTAGAGATACCTGTTCACTAATAAACTGTAAAATTAATACCTTTTCAAATGGGTCAATCTTTCAAAATAAAAAGGCAAACAAAAGTCTGTACAAAAGATCTCATGAAATGAATGAAACATAAGCTTCTCCTCTTAAAAATGGCAGCCCTTGTCCAATTGTGTTATTTCTGTCAACTAGCAAATATGAAAGCAAAGGAGTAAGGATCATTCAAAGCTCAAGGATGAGAATATCCTTTTCATCTATTACACAAATTAAATGTAGAATATCTGAATTCTGGCCTTCGGGTTGGCAGAAAGAATGCAAGGTGGTAACACTTATTTCAAAAAGAAGAGGTTCTTGCTAGCCATCTATCTTTTCTTTACTTGAATAAACATCATCTTTGTCTTACTGTTTTCACTAAGTCACTAAAAATTAAGTCACATAGAGTACTCAGTGGGAAGGGTGTTTAAATGGCTACTCTTGTTTCCATCACTTTGTCCCCCCAACTCAGTCCCACCATATATAAAATGGGAACAGTAAAGAATCCAAGTCTTTCATTGCATTTGTCCTTCAAGAAGGGCATATTGAGAAGAAGAAATAAAAATAAAACACTGACCTACTGATTGGCTCCTTCCTCGAATAGAAGCTTCGTAAAGATAATTCCTTGAATTTGACTCTTCAAACTTTGGAATAGAGAAAGAAACAGTGAAATAATTGTACCTTCCAATTATATTACACATTTCTTCTGAAGATAGCAAAACAGTTCCTCTTCTATCTAATTTAGCTAATTTACAACTAGATTATACAATAATTACGTTCAATTTCACCATTAAAGGTGATGGCATTAAATTATTAAAGAATTCTGGATTTGGAATCAGAGATCCTGGGCCAGACAGTTATCACTTGAGTGACAATGACCAAGGCACTGCGGCATGCTGGGCCTCAGTTTCTTCATCTGTCAAAAGAGAGCTGGCATATAGTAAACATTTGAATGTTATGTGATATAATTATCATTATTGTTTGCTCATAACTATGTGTTTTCTAGGTACCCATTGTGCACAAAGCCAAAGATTCTATGAGAATCAGTGTGCATAATAACAGGTGGTATGATAGAGTATAAAGTGAGAGACAGCTGGTGGCACAGTGGATAGAGTACTCGGTCTGTAGTCAGAAAGACTTGAGTTCAGATTCAGCCTCAGACACTTAACTGTGTACTCTGGGTCACACAAACTCTGTTTGCCTCAGTTTCCTCAATTATAAAATGAACATAAGTATAACACCTACCTTTCAGAGTCATTGTGAAGATCAAATAAGATAATATTTGTAATAAAGCATTTAGCACAGTGCCTGGCAACATAGGAGGTGCTACATAAATACTTATTCCTCACCTTTCCCCTCCACACACACACAAAGTGTGTTGGACTTACAGTCAGGAGACAACTGGGTTTGAATTATACATCAAATGCTTACTAGCTAGGTGACCCTGAACCCAAGGTTGATCTGTTCATTTTCTTCTTTCTAGTTTCATCTCTAAATATCTTGATCATGATCTGACTTCACTTTGTCTCTCACCAAGATTTCCATAAACTCATTTTGCCCTCCATTGCTTCTCACTGATTTTTAAGATGATAGCGTTTACAATCTTCTACCATTTTACTCTGAGAACAAATGAATGAATTGGAAAAAAAGCATTTATTAAACACTTCCTATGTGCCAACAGGCTGACATTCTGTCTTCGTGTTGCCATTCGCTGCTATACCTCTCTGCTTGGCAAGGAGGTCCAGTATTTGCTGACTGAGGTAGTTTCTAGGTTCTTTTGGCCTTTTCCACACAACAGTCAATTTAAATCTCTCATTGACAGAGGCAGGCTAATAACTTTTAGTCCATAACTACTAACTACACTGATCAAAGTTCTGATGAATAAAAGCCAACTAAGCAAAATGCCTCCATTCTAAGATGAAATCTAATCTTTGAACACACTTTGTCCTCCTGCTGGAAGGATCAAAATTTTAGTGTCTCAGTTCTTTCTTAGAAAGTCTCCTTTAGGGGCAGCTAGATGGTGCAGTGGGTAAAGCTCTTGCCTTGGAGTCAGGAGGACCTGAGTTCAAGTCCAGCCTCAGACACTTGACACTTACTAGCTGTGTGACCCTGGGCAAGTCACTCACCCTCTGTCTGACTCAGGTTGTTCAACTGTAAAATAAAAGATCATAATAGCCCCTACTTCAAAGGATTATTGCAAGGGTCAAATGAAATAATATTTGCAAAAGTGCTCAAATAAAATAATATTTGTAAAATACACAATCTAGAACATTATAGGCACTTCACAAATACTCGTTTCCTGATTCCAAACCTGGTCCTCTATCTACAACACCCCATGGCCTTAATGGAAAAGGTAAGACTCCAAAAAGCCACTGATGAAAATTGCAGGTTAGAATTCTGACTTTCCTATGAACTTATCATGTGGCCTAAGAATGTTGTACAATAGGATTTCCATGCTGAATAGACTTGAGATAATCAGATACTTAATATATTAAGTTATAGAATGTCAGATGGTGTTAAAAGGTTCTAAACATCAAAATTTGAAGCCACATAAACAACTAACATATTTCCACCCACCTCCCAATAGGAATTCTATGTTCCAGCCTACCTGGACAATTCTTTGTACCCTGAGCATTGCCTGTGAATTCTCCATGGTGCTGCTCCCTGTATTCCCTAAGCTAGAAATGGCCTTCTCTCCTACTCTTCATCATTCTTTCAACTCCAGTTAAAAGTCAGTTCCTCCATGAACCCTCTTCTAATCTCATCAGTGAGAATCTTCTCCCTCTCTGCCCTTGTATAGCATTGTGGGAAGTTTTTTTCTCATGTATTTAGGCAGTTACATCCACATCACAGCCTACTACTAGACTTTCAGAACCATGAGGTAAAGGATCCACTTTTACTCCAACTTTGCTTCTCCCCTAGTACTTTATATGATGCTCTACAAACAGCATTTGTTGAATTGAGTTGAATTTGAGTTCTTGGTACCATCTTGACAAGACTGTGGTTCTTCGGATCCTAGAGCTAAAACCGGAGAAGTCTCAGAAATCATCTAACCCAAATCCCTCATTTTACAGAAGAGGAAACTGAAGCCCAAGGGGGTGAACTGACTTATCCAAGATCACACTGGTAATAAGCTTCTGAGGTGAGACTTGAACTTAATTCTACTGAGGCAGCAAGGTGTCTTAATGGATGGACTACTGGTCTTAGAGTTAGAAAGACATGAGTTCAACTCCTCCTTCAGATACTTGATGGCTATATAACCCTGAGTAAGTCACTTAACTTCTTTCAGCCTCAGTTTCCTCATCTGCAAAATGGGGATAATAATACCATCCACCTCCCATTTGTGAGGATCAAATGCTATATGTAAAATGCTTTGAAAACTTTAAGGAGCTATATGAACACTAATTATTTTATTCTGACCCAAAAAGTTCTCTTTCCACTGTACCAAATTACCTATCAGCAATAATAATAATAATAATAATAATAATAATAAAATAATAATAACCCCCTGGAGAAGTACAGCCCTCATACTGGGAAACCACCATAGCTCACAACTATCCCATTTGTAAGAAAGCATGTCTACTCTTTCATTGTCCATTGTTCCCTTAATTACCACAGTATTTCTGAATCTTTCTTTCCATCAGTATCTAACCATCAGAGCTCTGTTTTCCAGGAACATGTGAATTAATCAGCACAGAGGATGGGCACATAAGTCCTGTAAGCCATTTTGCTCCAAATCATTGAGAGTTGAATATGAATTTGAGAATTTCAGCAAAGAACCCTCAAAAAAGCTTCGCCTCTTCCTCCTTTCACCTGTCTTCTTGTGAGTCACAAAGACTTCATTGTCAGAGTGACAGCAGAGTTCCATCGGGGAAGGGATTATTTCTCAGCCTCTTTTTGGGTTGGAAGCATGACCTACCTACCTACCTGGGCTGCAAGGGGAGTTCTTTTCTGTCGAATTGCATTAAATTGGTTTCTGGAAGAAAACAGAAAAGATCTTGTATAATCACAGGTCCCTAAGCAACCTGAACAAGCCTTTCCCAAGAGAGAGCTGCTGTTTTTCCTCCTGATTTCCATCACTTTATCAAAGAGGTCTTTCTTGGGTTAACGTTTAAAAGGTCGATTGTAGGGGGGAGGGAAGGAAGGATTTGAGGAGTTGGCTTGGTGGGGCTGGGGCCGTGTCATTTTACAAAATTTGAGATTGTCCACAAACCTCTCTTGCCTCTAATATAAACTCCCTGTTAGGGAGGAACCTTGTGTTTGGGGATAATGGAATTTTAAAAATTAGAATAATGCTATTGTACCAACGCTGAGACAATTCTATCCCTATGACTTTAGGGAACTCTGTGGGTTAATAAACATTGTATTCTGAAAGAACATATTTACTTCTCCCCCCAAAACGGAACTTAATTCTCTAGTTTTAGCCTCAGAAACTTAACACCAGAATCAATGTAAAAAGAGAAATAAGATTGTGAATTGATGGTATTTGTCTATAATTGTAAATAAAAAACCCAGCTCTTCACTAAGAAGTTCAATTTAGTCTAGAAATCATATTTTGTGTTTCCTGCTAGAACCATGTTTTTCTCTGAAGGGCATTTTATTCATTGAACTTTTATTAGAAAGACTGATGAAAAACATGGTTTGTTTTGGGCATGGATGGTGGACATTTGTAGTCTGTAAGACATTCCAAATGAAGAATTGCACAAAAGAAACAATCGATCAAAAATATTTATCAGGTACCTATTACGTACTACACAGTGGAAGGATTGTAAAGGATGTCATTTAAGAGATACATGACTGGGTCAGTCATATAGCAAATGGAGGGATAATCATTAAGAAAGTGTGATCCACAGGTGTCCATTTGATGTTGAGAGCTAGAAGGAGGCTCCCAGCAGGTTGAGTGTACTCTCTGTTAAGGATTTATTGGAGGACACAGCCAAGGATCATACCCAAGGCTGGGGAGGCATGGATGGATTGCTACATACATAATTGGAGAGAGTACCCACATCTGCACACACCCATACATGTCCTTTAGCAGTGATAAACACATAATGCCCATGTATCCATCAATAATGAGACAGAAGGAGCACAATAGCTGAAAGTTGCCTAAAATCAAATGACACTAGTGGGCATATACTTCAAGAAAGTGAAAAGCTGGAGCCAAGAGCCAATACATATCCAGTGATTCACAGCAGCACTCTTAAAGGAAGCAACAAAATGGAAACAGCGTGGGTATCAACTAAGTGGGAAATGGCTAAAAAGAAAAACCCTGCAACTTCGGCATATTAATGTAAAGGAATATTACTGTGCAATAAGAAATGACAAGTATGAGAAATTATGAGGAAAAAGGGGAAGTACAAACTGTTATGGACTAGAATAATCAAAAGGACTGAAGCACTGAAAGAACAGTATTTGCAGTGATTACAACAATGTAAGTGAAAAGTCACTAAAAGGAAACCAAACTCTGAGTAACTGAAAACCAGTGAAGATAGTGAAACACACCCCGTTCCTTATGGCAGGAGAGAGGGGGAAGGGGAGAACCACAAGGACAGAATGTGGCATGCATTGGACAGATTTGACCACTGCGATACATGTTTTGCTTCATTGTTTTCTGTGCCACAAAAGTAGGGAGGAAGACCCTTTTTCTTCCAGAAATGATTATGACATGTAGAAAAAATACTAGTAAAATGTATTTTGTTGAGTGAATGATATTACAAGACGCTATCTTCCTAATGTCTTTAGCTATTTTAAATTACCAAAAAGGTCTCTTTGGAAATTATAATAAACAGAAATATAAAGCACTGGCTCTGGAGTCTAGGAACATTGATTCAAACCCTGACTCTGCTGCTCATCATGGGACAGCGGGCAAGTCATTTAATTTTCTTGGACTTGAGTTTCTTCAGCTACAAAGCGAGAAGTTTTAACCAAATGACATCTGAGAGTCCTTTCAGCTCTAAACCTGAGCTCCTATGACCCTATGATGTTTGGTTTCACAAATAAGCAAATGGCTGTTGATTTTTAAAACATAGGGAATGTTTCTGAGAAGTATTTTTATGAAAAATTTCTTTTGTAGAATTACATGATTAAATCTGTCCAAAATTAAGTGTGTAAACTTAGCTTTGCCCAATCTAATCACTTTGACTTTTAAGCTTGAATAAGAGAATAATAATACTCACTTTGATGCTCTTGTCAAGATGGATGAAGCAAAGAAAGATCCTCCTAAAGGAAAAAAAGTACAAAAAAATAAGTGGAAAGGAAAGAGAGAGAGAGATTATTCCTTGTTTTCTTTTTTTAGAATCCTTAATGGGATATTATTTTAACTACTTTTTACAGCTGAGATTGCCTTTGGTTCTTCATTAAAGGAGAGTATATAAGATGGTAATATTTTTAACCAGAGGAGTTTTACCAAAGCTTTCCCTACCAGATAAAGCTAAAATAGAAAGAATTCATGCATTAGACAAAGCTTAGATGGCCTCTGAAGGCCTTTCTAATTATAAAATTCTATGAGAATCTGTGTCATCTCAAGTTACTTTTAGATCTAGATACAGATATGCTCTGTAGCCTTTAAAGATAGATGTGAACACATCTATAAGGTAGAAGATCCAACATAGTGTTTTACAGTGGAAGGGGGGGATTTATAGTCAGTGGGCCTGGGTTCAAACTCCAGTTCTCCTACTTATTTCCTGTGTAATCTTGAATAAGTCACTTACAGTTTCTAAGCCTCAGTTTCCTCAAATGTGAAATGAGGGGATTGAGCACAATGACTTCTAAGGTGCCTTCCGGCTATAAACCTGTGACCTTAACTGATCTTTTGTAGCCCATTGATTCTTCTCCTCTGCCCTATATGTTCAAAGTAAATATACATCAGTTTCCTAGAAAGGGAAAAAAATCTAATACTAAATATGATTTACCATTATGATTAAAATATGATTTACCTTTACTATTGTTTTTAGGAAAGAAAATTTAATAAATAAAACAATATTAAGCATTGTCCAACATAATTTCAAGAGTTATCTTTCTTAAAACACCCTATCATAACTGGAGTGGTAGTGCTGAGGAGACAAATACTTAATTGTCACACATTTAACTTAGAATTTTTTTTTTATTAAAAGTTAACAGCTCTTAAGAGGCAACATAGTGAAGTGGCCATAGATATCATATCTTGTAGTGAGAAAGATCCAAATTCAGATCCTGCCTTTGACATGTACTGACTGTTGAACCTTTCAGTATCAGGCAACTCCCTAAAAGTATAAGTTAGAGATAAGCTGCTAATCTATATCATTGAAAGGGGTTTTCGTACCAGTAGTTCCTCACACAGTGGAATCACAAATCTGGACACAGCCAAAGGAAAACCAAAACAAAACCATATCCTTATTATAAAGCAATCAAAAAAAAGACTCAACAACAATAACAACTACCACAAAAGACCAGAACTTCTGACAATAAAGCAAAAAATGGGTTTATGATAAGAATGTTAGCAAACTGAAGAGGAAAACAGAGGTCTCTAATTGTCTAAATGAAAAATCTTTACAAAGGTTTTCAGAGGTATTTTATGCTTTTTTTCCCTATCTCCTTTGATTTTTTAAAAATCATTTTGAAGTGTAAGGGGAGAAAACCCAGAGCTCTTTCTGATTAATTACAAAACAAAAATAATACAATAAACAAGGATAATAATTAACTAGAAGTGCTTACCTTGCAAGGAAAACAGCAGGGTGTGAATGATGAAAATACACCAAGGTATCATTAAATTGACTTTTCCCACAATGTTCATTTCAGTTCAGCCTCTCACCCAGAAAATATATCCAAATTGTTGGCCTCGGCTATGAGGGCATCTTAGAAGTCTCTGTCTTTGTGGTGTATTTAAATACTTACAAACATGGATATGAAACAACACAGTAAACAAGAAAAAGAAATGCCAGGGCCCCTAACGTCACACAACTTCAGGACCTTTTGAAATCTTGCCTGCAACTCCTCTGGCTGAGTGTCTCTCATTAGTGATGCATGGTGACTCTTTACCTAAGCCCGTATTAGTTACACCACACACACACACACACACACACACACACACACACACACACACACACCTGAAAATCTTGCTCTTTTTTTAGGGGGACTAAATCAATCTTTTATAACATTTGAGCAAAAAAAAAGCAAGCTGTTGCTTCCTCATGATGCTATGAGAATCATGTTATCAAATATTAGTCCATTTCTGTGGGTGTCAAGCACTGAATGCATGAAACTCACTGTTGTCCTTTTTTTGTTGTTTTTCCCTTTTTTAATTTTTTTATTTTTTTAATACAAATTTCTTTATTTTTAGTTTTCAACATTCACTCCCACAAGTTTTTGAATTCCAAATTTTCACCCCATCTCCCCCTCCCCCTCCCCAAGATGGCATACATTCTGAATATCCCTTCCCCTAGTCTGTCCTCTCTTCTATCTCTCTCCCCTTCTCTTATCCCCTTCCCCCTCTATTTTCCTATAGGGCAGGATAGACTTCTGTACCCCATTTCCTGTATTTCTTATTTCCCAGTAGCATGTGAAAACTTTTTTTTAAACATATGTTTTTAAAACTTTAGGTTTCAAATTTTCTCTCTTCCTCCCTCCCCATCCACCTTCATTGAAAAGGCAAGCAACTCAATATAGGTTGTACATGTGCAGTTATGCAAAACACATCCATACTAGACATGTTATGAAAAACTAACTCTATTTCCCTTAATCCTATCCTGCCCTCCCATTTATTCTATTCTTTCTTTTGACCCTGTCCCTCCTCAGAAGTATCTACTTCTGATTACCCCCTTTTCCAATCTGCCCTCCTCTCTATCATCCCCTGCTCTCTTGTCCCCTTCTCCCCCTATTTTCCTGTAGGGTAAGACAGATTTCCATACCCAATTGAATGTGTATGATATTCTCTCCTTAAGCCAAATCCTATGAGAATAAGATTCACTCATTCCCTCTCACCTTCCCCTGTTTCCCCTCCACTGCAAGAGACTTTTCTTTTTTTTGTGAGATAATTTACCCCATTCTACCTCTCCCTTTCTTCTTCTCTGAGTATAATCCTCTCTCATCCCTTAATTTTATTCTCCAGATATGACCCCTTAATCTTCAATTCATCCTGTGCCCTCTGTCTATCTATCTTCATATACATACATATAATTTTTTCCTCCAACTACCCTAATACTGACAAAGGTCTCATGAGTTATAAATATCATCTTTCCATTCAGAATGTAAACAGTTCAATCTTAATAAGTCTCTTATGATTTCTCTTTCCTGTTTACCTCTTCATGTTCCACTGGGAGTCCTGTATTTGAAAGTCAAATTTTCTATTCAGCTCTGGTCTTTTCATCAAGAATGCTTGAAAGTCCTCTATTTCACTGAATGACCATTTTTTCCCCTGAAGGATTATACTCAGTTTTGCTGGGTAGGTGATTCTTGGTTGTAATCCTATCTCCTTTGCCCTCTGGAATATTATATTCCATGCCCTGGTCCTTTAATGTAGAAGCTGCTAAATCTTGTGTTATCCTGATTGTGTTTCCACAGTACTTGAACTGTTTCCTTCTGGCAGCTTGTAATATTTTCTCCTTGACCTGGGAACTCTGGAATTTGGCTATAATATTCCTAGGAGTTTTCCTTTGGGGATCTCTTTCAGGAGGAGATCTGTGGATTCTTTCAATTTCTATTTTGCCCTCTGGTTCTAAAATATCAGGGCAGTTTTCCTTGAAAATTTCTTGAAAGATGATGTCTAGGCTCTTTTTTTGATCATGGCTTTCAGATAGTCCAATAATTTTTAAATTCTCTCTCCTGGATCTATTTTCCAGGTCAGTTGTTTTTCCAATGAGATATTTCACATTGTTTTCTAATTTTTCATTCTTTTGGATTTGTTCTACTGTGTCGTGATTTCTCATAAAGTCACTGTCTTCCAATTGCTCTATTCTAATTTTTAAGGAAGTATTTTCTTCAGTAAGCTTTTGGACTTCCTTTTCCATTTGGCCAATTTTGCTTTTTAGGGCATTCTCCTCATTGGCTTTTTGGACCTCTTTTGCCATTTGGGTTAGGCTATTTTTTAAGGTGTTATTTTCTTCAGTATTTTGGTGGGTCTCCTTTAGCAAGCTGTTGACTTGTTTTTCATGATTTTCTTGCATCACTCTCATTTCTCTTCCCAGTCTAAACTAGCATCATTTCCTTCCTATTCCTGCCTCTACTTCCCTACTTGCTTCTCAAAATCCCTTTTGAGCTCTTCCAAGGCCTGGGACTGATTCATATTTTTCTTGGAGGCTTTGGATGTAGGAGCTTTGACGTTGTTGTCTTCTTCTGGTTGTATATTTTGATCTTCTTTTTCACCAAAGTAAGATTCTATGGTCTGACTTTTTTTGTGCTGCTTGCTCATGATCCTGGCCAATTACTTGAGTTTTAAACTCTTTGTTAAGGTAAGAGTCTGCTTCTAATGTGGAGAATATACTGTCCCAAGCTTAGGGGGTTTGTATAGCTGTTTTCAGAGATACTTGTAGGGCCCTGTAAATTTTCAGTTCTTCCAAGGTGGTATGATAAGGGGTGAGGTGTTTACTCCTTTCCTGGCCTGTGACCACAAATATTCCTTTCTGTCCTGTAACTGTGAGGAAGGGTTCCTCTCCACAGCCACACCAAGCTCCACCATGCCAGCGTTCCTCCTCACCTCAGCACTACCGCCTAGAACTGTGACCCAGATCCAAACACGGGCAAAGCAAGAGATTCCTGCCTCAGCACTGGCAAAGAGATCCCTACAGTCCCTCTCTGATCAGCCACTGGATTCCCCCTCAATCTGTGGGCCGGAAGCTCGGGAAGCAGCGGCCTCCCCGGCCCAGCTCTTGGGGAATGGAGCTGAAACCCCCCCGCCCTTCCTCTCTGAGCACCAACAGAAACAGACTTTCCCACTGACCTTCTAAGTTGTCTTTGGCGTTCGTGGATTGAGGAGTCTGGGGCCTGCTCCAGGTTTGCTGCCACCTGCGCACCCATGCCGCGCTGTGCTGCGCTCCCAGCCCAGCGTGATACACCTTTCTGATCGATCATCCAGGTTTTCTTGGGCTGGAAATTTGTTCCACTCTGTCTTTTTGTGGGTTCTGCTATGAGTATTTGGAGGGGTTTGGAGGAGAGCTCAATCAAGTCACTGCTTTCACTCTGCCATCTTGCCTCAGCCCCCCGCTGCTGTCCTTTTTTGAAAAAGCTACAGAAATCTTTAAGTTGATCTCTCAACATTGCTTTTCTAGAATACTTCAAGTAGTTTTAGAAAGAAGCTAACGAAGAATTAATGTAAAATGCAACCATTTCCATCTCTGGAGCCAACATGGAGTCAAAGTGTACAAATGCTTTAGTCTGCTTCTATAGATATTTCTTTCACCTCCATCAGTGAAACATGAAGGCATTAAAAGAGACCTATGTCAATCATTTTTACTTCAACACTGAGGATCTGTGATTTTGTTCCATTGACTCCTTCATGGAGGCAGACTGGAACTCCTCTATGATCGTAAGAGAAATCCTTTACCTTGGAAAAAAAAAATTAAGCAACTCATCTAATCTTTACCCAGACTTCTCTACTCTGCACTTCCCTTTTCCATTCTCCAAAATGATTAGCCACATAGCCACAATAATAATCCTTTTATCAGTCATTCTTCTCTGGGAAGCTCTTAGAATTTCACGTAACCTTGTAAGATATCTATATAGTATTTCACAATGAGATTCCTAGAGACAAGACAGATATAACTCTAATGAATAGTAAGCACAATAGGGTGAAATGTACATATTTCCTGTTACTGAATTGATGACCCTCCTGAATTATTATTAATTGCATTTTATAGATGAGGACAAAGTAAATAAGGAATTAATCCACCTTCACAAGGGCCTTATACCCTGACATAATACTAGACAAGGAATTGCCAGTCTACTTTGTAAAACACCAGAATTTGTCTCTTACTTTTCTTCAGTGGTTGCCCAATTTTTTCAGTTAAAGATTCATTTGTCATCTAAATATTTTTCACAATGTACCTTCATGATTATCCTACCCTAATTGATACATCAGCCAACTTTACCATGTTCTAGTCTTAAGGTGTCATCACTTCTTGTGTCTCACTGTCTATATATCACCAGGTATATAAATGTAAATAATTACTGAGCAAAAAATAAAAGGTTTTAAAGTATATCCCATTGATTGGGAAGTAGCTAATAAAACTGCTATATTAATCTAATTAAATGTTGCTATCTCATAAGTCATAATGAATATAGAGAATTCAGAGAATCATAGAAAGATCTATATCAATCAAATCAGAGAGAAGTATGAAGAATCATGAAGCCAAGATACACAATGACTACAATGATGTAAATGTAGACCTCCCATCCACCTGTGCAGAACTGGGGTATATGGGTATAAAATACTGACTATAGTATCATTTGTATTAGTTTGTACTAATTTTGTTTAATCTGCTTGATTAGATTACAATATACTCATATATCATTAGGATTACTGAACTCCCTTTTTCTCTTTTTTATTCAGAAAAACAGACATTACAGTAGTATTGATTTCATTTTGTTAAATGTATAGGAAAATTTTTTTAACTATGTAAAAGAGTCACAGTTTCATACATGTCTTTTTTTTTGTTCTTTATATATGGAAACATTACTGTTTGTGGCTACTTGTCAAGTTCATAATCTAAAAAGAAAATTTAAAACCAAAATATAAAAAGCACAAATATCCAGCATTCTTTCACTTCCTTATGAAACCATTAGACGAAAGCAGAAGACTTGACTACCAGCAGAGTCACCTATCCTCAGAAGCTGGAGTCCAAGGGCTAATTTAGATGAAAGCCTCTATGACTGTTGCTTCATGTGATCCTCACTGTCCACCTTATGCTGACAGCTTGTGTATTTCATTCTCACCTTA